CCCCCCCCCCCCCCGCAACCCACACAGCTCCCATGCACACCAATTGGCTCAGAGGATCCCTGGCCATGCAAGTCACAAGAAGTGGGGAAGTCTGTACCATCAGCATTTTTACTTCTACTGGTAGAATGACCCCTTTGGATCCAACCCTCTCTGCCCAGGCAATCCATGTTCTAAATTTTGTGGCTTGTATGCTGTATGCAAAGTGAGCATAATTTGCATAACTTCTATTTTCTGTCATCCATTCTGGTTTTGTGGGTCATAGGAAGTTACACAAATTGCTTTTTCAGTCCATTTTCAGACATTCTAATCCTTATGGTTGCCAAGATAAGTTTCAAAACATGCGAACAAGGTGAAATCTCAAGAGCTGACCAAGGCTTTCAGAAGTGTTTTAAAATCTGCTGAGGTCCTTTTTCCTTTCTACTGAAGAAAATAAATTATGCAAAGGAAGTAAAATGTCCTTAATTTGTATGATTTTCTCATTTTAAAAAACCCTCAAAAATAGCTATGCTGCTTGCATGGGGGAAAAAAATCCCAAGCTGGGCATCACCTTTATTAAGACAAATTGCCCCCAAATAGTCTGCAGACATTCAAGTTCTCTAAAACTCTTCATCAGGCTAGGTGGTAGGAAAAGCAGGGTTTGTGTGTGTTGCAGGGGGAGGAGGGGCAGGAACAAAACAAAACAAAAGTCCCTAAATTATGCCAGATGTTGCAGGCATTTGGTCTGCAGTTTAGACTCAATCTGAAAGTGGAGATAACAGACTGAATTAGTCACTGGTAGGTATTGTAGGTATCAGATTACACCCAGCATTCTTGGACAAAGAAGCAATGGCTGATCCCTATTTCAGACAATGTTACAGCTGGCTATAACTTAGATCTTTCTCTTGCCTTGGTCAGACTCACAGGTTTCTGGGTAAGCAGAGATCAAAAATAAAGAGAAGTTATAAAAATTTTATATTAGCAAATCCAAAGAATCCAGGTTTTTGAGCCTTTCTCAGGCTCAAAAGTCGTTTACTATATAGTGCACATGGCAATACCATTGTCCCTTTTTCCCCAGGCTTAGATATTGATGGACTGTACCGCATAAGTGGGAATCTGGCTACAGTACAAAAACTGCGCTACAAGGTTGATCACGGTAAGGAACCAGTTGTGACATGGCAGGGATTGGAGCTTAGCAGATGTAACCTGTAGATAATCCCAGATTCATTCTTTTGGATAGCTGCAAAGGGTCTCTGTCCAAGACTGGTGAACTATCACTGGCTACTGTATGTAATACCCAGGTAGAAACAAATGAAATAGGTATGGCAATTGGTAAGGTGGAAGGGATAGAAACCATGCATCCTTACATAAGGTTGCAAGGCGATTCATAGTATCTCATGCATTTGCTGCTTGCAGAACGCAGTGATGGTCACTTCTTCAGGAACCTTTAAAAAGGAGCTATACAGATTCAGGGAAGATAGGTCTGTTGGCTGCCACCACTGTAGCTAAAACAAAGCCACCTGAATGCCAGGTGCTGGTAACAAATACTGACGAGAGCTGTCTCATTCCCTGTTTGTGAACTTTCCTGGGCTGGTCATTGTTGGAAATTGTATGCAGGAGTAGATAAACCTTTTGCTCCTATCTGAAAAGCCGTTGTCTAAAGTTCTTGTGACTTGGGTTAGGGAATTCATGACAGACCTGGCTAGTCCAGTCTTAAGTATCAGCTTGTCAAATTGAGTATTTTACAGCCAGTTTCCAAAAAATATCTAAGTTCAGCAGCATTCATAATTTGAGAAGACAGTGAATGTGTACATTGAAACTATAAAAATTTGAAAAAGCCTAAAAGGTCTAAAATCTTCTTGCCTAATTCTTCCTGAAGCTATTACTTGAATTCTCTCATCTGACACTCAAGAATAGCCAGAACTTCTCTTGTCTGGCCTCTGAAGTAGGGGCCAGCACTATACATGCTTAGGCAGTCTGGAACAAGGGGAGGCACTCCTTTTGGGACTTAGCAAGCATCACTTGGTCAAGTGTACCTGACTGATCTCTCTAGCTGCTCTTTCAACAAAGCTTTCTTATACAACAGCTAGCCTCACCTCTGTGTTTACAGCCAGTTCAGGCTGCTGAAGGGGTGGACTTGGTTGAAGTTCTTACTGCTATTTAAAGGCCTACCAACCTGGGGTCCACTAAGTGCCCTGGACTGTATGCCCCACCATCCCCAGCCAGCATGGCCAATGGTAATCTAAAACATTTGGAGGGCACCAGATTGCCTATACTTGGCACCATGTTCTCCTTTTCTTATGCTTTAGCGGGTGCTGCACTCTGCCCATTGACTGTAGGCAGAAGCCAGCTGGGGGCTATTCCCACATGGTAGCATTGGAATATATTGGGTGTAGATGCCATGACTGATGTCCTGTCATCCCTTTTGCAGATGAACACTTGGACCTTGATGATGGCCGTTGGGACGATGTTCACGTCATCACTGGGGCACTCAAGCTCTTCTTCCGCGAGTTGCCAGAGCCACTTTTCCCCTTCAGCCACTTTCACAAGTTCATTGCTGCCATTAGTAAGAGACATTGCTTTTGCAGCATCAAAGCTTTGGCAAGACGGGCTGGGTGGAATGATGTCATGTAGGTTATACAGCGGCCTTCCCAACCTGGTGCCCTCCAGAGGTGCTGGACTGCAGCTCCTACCATTGCTAACCAATAAGGCTAATATCTGAGACTGGTGGGAGTTTAAGTCCAAAATGTCTTGAAGGTACTAGTTTGCAGAAGGCTGACTTTAAAGGTATCTGCAGGTTTATTTAATAGTTTACGAGAGGGAGGGAGGGAGGGAAACAAACAGAAGGAAAAGAGTGGAAATTATGCTTTATCCTCTCTTTTTTTTAAGAATAGCCTGCTTCTGTCACAGTGGGGGCACATTCACTATTCTATTCTGGAATCAGAGTTTAGGCTTCAAATCACCATCTAGCCTACTCTGTGCCATATCACTGAAACATAATGGTCTGTCCATAAAATAGACTGTTGATGCCTTTCCAGAATATTCTAGAAATTAGAGAAGAAAGTGTACCTGATGCTCAGTCTAGCTACAGCAGTAAATGCATGCTTGCTTCTGAAGTCAGCAGCAATATTCCTACTTTTTTTCGTAATATCTAATTAGGGAAATTTGTGCCATGTTATTTTGTGCCACCTCTCCCTCCTGCCATAATACTTGATGTATTGTCATGTATTTCCTGTACTAGCACGCATTTGCTACGAATAGCTATGAATCTGAAATACGCATGCATGCAAATGCATGTACAAGCCTTGGGTATTTATATCTTGCAGCAACTGGGCTAACCCTATTTCAGAGGTGTACAGATTTTGTTGGTTAAATTTGAATGCGCAGTGATTGTTTACACATTTCTCTCACAAACTGCTTCTACTGCTCCTTTTCCTAAAAGGCTGAAGTGTCTTTTTCTATAGGCTTGTAGTGGCAGGGGAGAACTCTAATGGCAGCACATTATTTAACTTGGTATAAACTACAGTATTTTTCTGTGTGTAAGACAATACTTTTTCTTTAAAATATTTACCTAAAAATGGAGGGACATCTTACACATGGGGGAGCTGAGAGGAGAGCCGCAGGCGTGCTCGGGGGGCAGGGGCAACTGGTGTGGGCACGCTCGGCGGGGGTGACTGGTGCAGGTGTGCGCACGGCAAGGCAATGGGCGTGTGCGCGCAGCAGCAACTTGCTCGCTCAGAGATGGTAAGAAAAGTGGGGGGCGTCCTATACATGGGGGTGTCTTATAGACTGAAAAATACAGTAATAGATGGGTGAGATATCATCTTTTTGGAACTGCAGAAATTACAGAGCCAACTAAACGAACTCACCGCTTACGGGAGCTGGTAACTTCTCTACCTCCTGCTAACCACAATACCATGAGGGTACTTTTCAAGCATCTCTGCAGGTGAGAAGCTGCATATCCCAGAGCCCTGAGCTTCCATGGAGTGTTGCATGCTAATGTCCACGGCCACTTGTGAGGCAATTCCCCTGTGTAGCTTTCTCTTAATGTTACTCTGTCTTTTTGCCACCTCGTTCCATTCCTTCAACAGTTAGTAGGGTCCCCTGTCTCTAGTCATAAAGTCCCCAGTCCTCCCTAGTCCACAAAGCCAATAGTGTGGCATGATAGAAGTTGTAGGCAACACATCTGGAGGCTCACAAGCTGGCCACCCCAGTCTTGCTTGAAAGCAGATCCTCACCCTCTTGCCCCCCAGCCACAGCGTCCTTCTGCTTCCTGCACAATTGGTCTGCAACTTTCTGTGGCTGATTCTTACTATATTGTGAGTGCAAAAGTAGCATGCAGATGCGAGTAACAAATTGTTTTTGCCCTTTCCATAAGTGCATGTTTTATGAGGGTGAATTGCAGTAAGACATTACAACTGAAGATTTGCACTCAAGGTTTCCTTCTGTCTGCCCCAAAGTGGCACTCTCCAGGTGCACTGGGACTGCAACCCATATCAGCCCCAGCCTGTATGGCCAATGTTCAGAGAGGATGCCACTACTGACATCTTCTCCTGTATTCATAGAGTCCTTCTTGCTTCTCTGCAGGGTTATTGAGTTCCGGGATGAGAACCGCATGACAGTGCAAAGTGTTGCAATTGTGTTTGGACCAACATTACTGAAGCCAGAGACAGAAGAAGGGAATATGACTATGCACATGGTTTTTCAGAACCAGATTGTGGAGCAAATTCTTAGCCAGTTCAGCTACATATTTCCAGAGAGCTAAACCCTCCCATCAGAGCACAAGAGCCCAACTGAATGAAGAAACAGCTTTGCTACACGAGTTCATCCTGGCACTCTGGGAAAGGCTGTATTACTGGATAGTGTCAAGACACAGAGATAGTGAAACGGGGACAAGCAGTCACAAGCAATAAAACAATCAATGTTGGATTCAGAATGGTCTCCACTGTTGCGGGAATGGGATAGGCAAGCTGTTGGACAAGAGAAAGGCTAATTGTTCAACACAATACTCTGGGTTAGTGCTTTGAATTTCCCATCTGGAGTGTTATTTTGCTCTGTGGGGATGTGACCTAGTGTGGAAAAAAGCTACTGGGAAGGTTTTGTGGTTAAGTCTATGCCATAATTTTTTCAGGTGTAAATGCTAATGAATTGTATGGTGATGAGCATACTGCGATTCTTTTGTTCTTTTGAGGGAACTAGGCATGGTTGAATGTAGGTAAGTAGTGGGCTTGAACCAGGACCAAACAGCCATTCCATCAAGACGTCTTCATGCCTCTACTCCAGCCGTCACACACCACCTGTTCCTGCCAATACACAATGCAAAGAAATGGCAAGATACCAGTACACACCCACTGTGTCATTATAATATCACATTGGACAATTCAGATATGTAATGTTAACAACTATGTCTCAGCTACTTATTCCAGTGTGTTTGTGTATGGAATTTAGATGAGGTGAGGGTAAATTGACGATTGTGATAGACTCGTATTTAATTTTCTTGTGTATCTTGTCCTTATTCTTACCATTGGTAATGTGATCTTACTTTGTTATAAATTCAGTGAAATTCGGCATGAGTTTAAATGCTACATGAAGCTCTTGGTGTATTTGCCTTTACTCACAGCCTCCTTCACCGTATGTAGTGATACAAGAGTAAATCCCACGTCCTCTCAAAACTGAATGTCTGAATAGACTGAAGTCCAGCAAGCCATGAGAATTTTGAGGGTGCATTCTCAAAGGAAAATATTGACTTTCATGGGCTAGGCAAGACATGCACATGGTGGGCATGTTGTGAGCAGAGCCAGATGGAGTCAGGGGTCAGACTAGATGGCCCGGGAGGTCCCTTCTGACTCGCTCTGTTTCTATGTTTCAATGTATTCTGCTGGGAATAAATGTGATGTTCACACTGTGGCATGACAAAGTGCTGACAGTGGCTGGACTGAAACCAGTCAGCCTCTTCCTGAAGCATAGGAGTGCATAAAATTATCCAACACTTCCCGTTTTCTCTTTATGCTAAACCTAGAGCTCAGGAATTAGTAGCAGGAGCACTTTTTAGAAATGGTATTTATTATACTGTACATGAACTTCCCATTTTGTGTCTGTGTGCCATGCTTGCCTGATGATGCTCTAGTCATATGAGACTTGGAGGCAGTCAGTGTGCATAACTGAGATGTGTGGAATAAGTGCTTCTACCCCCGCTCCCCAAAGCAATATGAAAGTGTACCTGAAGACTTTTTACAAACGGGGTTCTTCCTACTCTCTTGGAGAGGGCTGCTGCCACAAAAGTAGAAGACCCATCACATTCCAACCCCGCCCCCCAGCCCCAAGTTGATCGTAGGGTACTACTTCTGCCTTTGCCTGCAGTCAGGCACAGAATAAGCTGCCAGCATTCTTGGTGTGGTGCTGGGTTGCCGTACATTCAAGACCTCTGCCTGGCAATCATGGCTGCTCTACCACCTTGCACAGAAGAGGAGAGACCTGAGAAATCAGCATTGCTACTGCTCTGTACCCTACCGCTTTCTGCCTTTAGTACTGAGACAACTATTTCCACTGTGGACATGATATTGGAGGACAGCTGGATTCTGTTCTTTTTAGCCCGGTCTTACTGTAAAGGTTCCACTGGGTTCTGGGCTAACAGGGGAGTAATGGTGTTATGAATCCTTTGAGGGTGAGGCGTCATTTTTAAAATACTAAGGTAACATCAGCTGAGAAGATGTAATAACCCCTGAGACCCAAGATGCTTCCTGTACCTGCAAAGGGTGTTAAGTGGAAGGATGTCAGTTGCTGCATCTCACACAAGTGCATTAGTTAGATAATTGAACATTAGCAAATGTTGATAAAATACCAAATGATCCAACTCCTTCTTAATCTCTTCGATATTAACAGATGTTGATTTTAAAAATGGAGCTATATTAAGAAAATGCATAGCTAACTGTGGTTGGACCAAAAGGAAATATTTTTTGGAAGTCCATTCACTGTGATTGATCTTTTAAATAAATAATAAGACTTTAAGTGAAAGAATTGTGTGTTTGTTTAGGATGGGAGACAGCATCACATTCAAAGATAAACACTTGTTGCAGATACAGTCAATCTTCAGTTTTGTTCTCTATGTTGCCATTTTCTTGTGGTCAATTAAGTCTGCAGTCTTGTACAGAGTAAAATGGAACTTGCTCCTGAAAAAACATGCATAGGATCAAGCTGCACAAGGAACAATTCAATTGCAAAATAAATTCCCATTGGTATGAAAACTGCTTGTGGTATTGGGTTACAAGCAGAAACGGTAGAGTTTCTTCTGATACACTGGCCACTTTTTTCTTCCAGGGAAGGGTGAGCTGCACTGAAAGGCCCACACCCCAAATCCTCCTTGTTTGGCCAGCCCACTCTCTAATCTCTCCCCTGTCCATCTAGCATCTGTTCAGTTTTATCCTGCTCAGGAATGCGGGCTGGACTTAGCTCACAAGAAAGCCAAAGGGGCTGGCACTGGCAGACTAGAGGCCCATCTTAGTTTAGGTGAAAGAAACTTGCTTGGTGGATTTTTGATGATCGGGACGCCTCAGGCCTTGCTTAGTTCTCCCAGGTAATACAAACAGAAGAAATCCTTTTAGCACTCATTGCTGACTCTGAGCATTTTGGGTTTGCTTGGGGTGGTTCTTCATGTACATCAGGGTTCATTTTTATTTTGTTAAAGATCTGCTAAAAAGTGGTGGACTATTTGTTTGGCAGTTTTTCGCCCAGAAAGAAGAAAACAGAGTTAAATATTAATGCTCTTAAAAGGCCCAGACATTCCTCAGGCGATTCTGAGGAGGCCACTGCTAATGATGAGAGAGCTCCTGCTAAGGCGAAATTCCTAAGTGAGGAGGAGGTGGCAACAACTGAAAAGACTACTGTCCTTCCACTTTTCACATCACTTTTTTTTTTCTTTAGGACCCTTGAAAAAGGAGTTTTTTGATAGTGGGTTAGACTGATAGTGGCTTTGGTACCTCCCTTGAATACGTTCCCTTTTCTGTTCTTGGTGGAGCCGCTGTATCCACAAGCAAGAATGATCGAGAGAGCCATTTTGAAAGCAAAGAAAAGCTGCTGAAGAAAACAAAAAACAGATTCCGCAATTACATTCTGCAAACCTGGAAATTTTCAGCTGCTGAGAACTGAGCATCCTGACAACTTTGACTACTTTATGTTGGGGAAGGAAAGTAAATTTCTAAAATAAAGCTGTGAAGACGCACGAAGTGAAGGTAAGATTTCAAAAAGCAATCCCTTACCCCCTTTTTAGTATAAGCAGAATAAAGTGCACAAAATAAATCTGTGTTTGTTTAATCTGTGCAAGCTTTCCTGGTTCAGCACTTTAGTGAGAGCAGAATTCATTTTGATCCAGATGTTACAGCTCAGACAAATACCGTAATGCATATGAAGAATCTTTCGTGCCCTCCAGGTCCGGCATTGCACCTCCCCCCTCCCCCACCCAAGAAAGCTCTTGTGCACGCGCGCGCACAGTTCTTCACGTGCTGCAGGAAGCAAGTATGTGCCTGGTATTGGCGAGGCCAGAAGTGTCTCAAGGAAATGACTGACTCTCGCCTACTGTGTCCCTTGCACTGTTTGTTTTGAGTTGGGATGACAAAGGGGAAAGGTCACCGGCACCAACTGGCTCTGTTGCTTTCATTGCACGGAAGTTCCGGAGGTGCTGGCGGCGGCGGCGGCGACGGCGGCGATCCTCAGAGCCCAGGTGAACTCTTTTCATTCCGCTGTTAACAGACCTGGTTCCCAACTGGCTTTGCTTCATTTACAGGATGGCCCTAAAGCGTTCTGATCTCTGCATATTATAACAAACACAAGAAGCAGAGCCCCTAATGCATGCCTGCTTCTTGAGAGTTCCTATGTGGCCTGAACAGAAACCCAGCCAGCATATTTACTAGTTCATTTGCGAATCTGCCAGCTCTTTAAGGCCTCAGAGAAAAAGAGATTTAAATGCCCTTACAAAATCAAGGCAAATCAAAGAAAGGAAGGGAAAGTATTTGCATTCATTCAGATTAGGCAGGAGTGGGCAACTTGTGGCTTCAGATGTTTTGCAGCTCCCATCAGATCCAGCCAGGATGTTCAGTAGTGAGAGATGATGGGGATTATTGCCAAGACATCTAGAAGACCACAGGTTTTCCACATTGCATAGTGTGATCCATACCCATGTAGTTCAGCCTAAGGTGGAGGGCATGCATTTTGATGTGTATATTGCCAAATTATTGTAGGTACTTCAAGAATGTAAAAGCTGGCCTTCTTTACTCTTGTGCCTTTACTGAAAACTCCCAGAAACTCCCATGACCAATGGTCAGAAAGACTGAGAGATGAAGGGCAAAATAGATCTGCTTGCTTTGCCCTGCTTTAGTGATTTCAAAACACAACGCTACTTGAGCCCATTTAACATTAGTCAATCAGTTGTCATCCCCAGGCAGGGAACAGAATTGAAATTCTTCAGACTGATTAGCTGTGAGCTAGGCCTCTGGAGCAAGGCCTGCTTGCAAGATCCTAGGTCCAAGTGCCAGATATCTGAGATTTGTTTTTATGCTGTGCTCGAGTTTAGTCTCATTGCCCAGGTAGACTTATAAGACAGAATGTGAGCTTTCTGATAGCCTGGTACTGAGTCAGGAATTTATAAAACAAAACTAGTACTTTGAATTGTTTCCAGAATTAGCGTACTAGCCAGCTGTATCAAGAAAGCCATATGCACCTTGTAACTGGTCCCAATTTGTTTTTTACATGTCATGGCTGACCTTCCATTCATCACTTATCCTCAGCCTCAGTATTCTTCATCTGTAAAATATGCATTTCACGTGGTTGCTATTCAGTTCTAGAGCTGACAGTGAGACTCCCTGATGGGTAGTAACACAGAAAGAATTTATAATTATTTTTTGGAGATGCACAGTGGGAGTTGGGTACAGCAGGAAATATTCTTCACCCACAAAACATTATTTTGTATGTGGATGGCCAGGTCAATATTTTACATATGATTCTGGTTTGTGGACCTCTGGGTTCTACTAAAAAACAGAATAGATCCAACAAGTCTTTGGTATGAGGCACCTCCTGGACCTCATTTTACTCAGTTTCTTTTCAGGTAAAAGTGACTGAAACGGAACCATTCTCTGACCTGAGGGCATAACGGGGCTTCAATGGAAACTGTTGTGATTGTGGCCATTGGAGTATTGGCAACCATCTTCCTGGCTTCTTTTGTGGCCCTGGTTGTTGTATGTAGGCAGCGATACTGCCGGCCCAAGGATTTCTTGAGCCATTATGATACCAGGTGAGCAGGATCACTTACTTTTAGACAATGGGTATTTTAATGATTCAGGTAACACATCTTCCTATCTAAAGGGATGGAATAGGTAACACATCTTCCTATCTACAGGATTCCAAATCCAAAATATGTTGTAAGAGGCAAAGGAACTCTGGGCCTTTTTACAGGTGTTGCCCATATGACAGTTGAGCTTTGTATGGAAAATGACCTCTAGAAAGCAGCAGCAGTGGTAAAGGAACAGATCCTGCATATTCCCAGAGGTTCCTCAAAGAAAGATTGTAAAGCAGTCTGTATGTAAAGTTTTAAGGAACCAGTGATTGTTATTGATAATAATAAAATACAGTTAGTCAGATGTCTGCAGTTAAGCTTGGCCTCAGAATAAGCTGAGTCTGACTGGTAGCTAAAGGCCTCTCAGGCACTAACTAACTTCAGACAAAGTACTAATCTACACTCAAAGGTTGAGTATGAGTGGAATTTGGGTTGCCATTGAACCATGGGTTCTTGTTGAAACATGGGTTATCATGTTCACTGTGTACAGCCATGCTAACAAGCCATGGTTTGTTAACCAGAAACATCCCACAGTTTACAATTCAATGACAATCCATGGATTATTCATAGATTGTTAGTGATGAACAAACCATGGTTTGCTAGCATGGCTGGGTTCAATAACAGCCTACAGTTGAACAAGAACCCACCCTCAACCATTCAATGTGGATTATCCTGTTGTCTGAATCCAGCCAGTCTCTCCTTCCATCTTCAAAGGATTGCATAGCATATATTTAAAACAACTATAGCAATTGTTACCATTTTTTTAAAAAATAAAGTATTATTATGGATTCTAGAACCAGCATTTAAGAACAGGTGCTCAGGCTGCAGCCCAAATTAATCACAATGAAATTGCTTATTGCTTCTGCCAAGAAGATTAAATCACTAAGTTTTTACATAGGGAAGACAGATAAGAGGAGAAGCACTTCTTAAGAAACAACAAAAGAACAGCAAAAACACTGTTAATCAGGAAAGCACAAATCATAACAGAAAAGACAAAGAAAAGATGAGACAAACAATGGCAATTAGTTGATGCCTAAATATGCTGCCTCTAAAAATAGAAGCAGTATGAATACTGTTTGCTGGGGAATACAAGTGCGAGGGCACTGCTCCCTTCATGTTGGGCTTACCAGCTTCCCAGAGCCATCTGGGGCTACGGACTAGATAGGCCCCTGCTCTGATCCAGCTGGAATCTGCGTATGTTCTTAAGACATTACCATAGATTAGGCAAAATTGCCCTAACTTCTGACTTAGAATTGTCAGCTTTTGTTACTGGTTCCTGCTCTTGTCCACTTAATGCCAGATGGGTCACAGGTGCAGGTGACGATGCCTGTCTTCGAGTGAATCCTGTAGATTGAGTTGTAAGAGACTAGCACAAGGGCAGGTCAGAACTGTTTGTTCTCCTGACTTGTAAATTGCATTTGATTTTCATTACTGAAATCTACCATGCCTGGTGAAGTCAAAAGAGCCCAGATAGTGTCCTGGCAAAAATGCTGACCTTGTCCAACCCTTGGATTCCTTTTGTATTTCTTCCTCAGGCCTATTGTTGATCTAATTGGCACCATGGAGACACAGTCAGAACCGTCAGAACTAGAACTGGATGATGTGATCATAACAAACCCACATATTGAAGCAATCCTGGAAAACGAAGACTGGATTGAAGATGCTTCGTAAGTTGTCCAGCACTCAAGCCATTGGCTAAGCTGCTGGGATTCAATTTATTTACTTAATTTCTATACTGCCCAAGAGCCAAAGCTCTCTGGGTGGTTCACGATGCCATGCAAAATTGAGCTACATTTTGACTTTTCAAAAGCAAAATGTCAGCAAGAGGGTGCTGAAAAATCCAATGCTACTTGTATGAGAGAAGGGAAAGGATAAATGTAGTTGGTTGTGAACAAGTTGTCTTGCCAGGGGCTAGTGAAAGGTGGAGCTGTGTGCTTTGGGCAAGGAGGCTGGAGACAGGAAAGCTGAGTTGAGGGAAGAGAGTCTGAACATAAAGGAGCATAAATGGACTGTGAAACTGGAGGGGAGTGCTGCAGTGGGAGGGCATGAGTCTTACCAATAGTATCCGCCAAAATGCCACATTGCTTCTCTGATTTGCTGCTGCCCTTTCTCTTTCTCCCTCAGGGGCCTGGTGTCTCACTGCATTGCTATCCTAAAGGTAAATGCCTAGCTTTTAGAGATCATAATGTGAGCATGTCAAGCTCTAAAGAGGGGTCATGCTTTCTGGGAGGGGCTGGGAGCTCTAATAAGAGAAGCATGGTTGAGGAAGCAGGTCCTGGGCTCCTACCGCAAGCAACACTGACTGCATCACTCTTTGAACAGATCTGTCACACCCTCACAGAGAAACTTGTTGCCATGACAATGGGTTCAGGGGCCCAAGTGAAGTCTCCAGCAAGCCTGAGTGACATCATCGTGGTGGCCAAGCGAATTAGTCCCAGGTGAGCGTTGTCAGGGGCTGATCCAACTAATAAAAGGGAATAGAGCAGCCTTCCCCAACCTGGTGCCCATCAGAAGTATTGGGCCACCTCTCCCATCATTCCCAGCAAGCTTGACTGTTGATGGGCATTTTGGCCCAACACATCTGGAAGGCACCTGGTTGGGGAAGACTGGATTAAAGAATGGGCTGGTTACTGGCTTTTGCATCAAGGGCGCAGGATTTGGCAAAAAGGAAGATGTTAAGTGCCCACCCTGTTCCGAGTGAAAGTATCTGTATTTCGTTCAGAAGCAATTGTGAACAAGGCAGTGCAGGACTGGCACCATTCTTCTGCCTGAGGTGAACAGGAAGATTCCCTCCTGGCCTGGCAATTAAATGTTACTCCATGACTAGCGAGGGAACAAGGTCTTCCACTGCAGCCGAGCCACCAGCTCAGTCAAATGAGTGCAGGTAGGTGTGTGTAGGCACCAGTAAACATTAAAAGATTCCTTGTAAAATTAGCACAGTGGTAAAATGCTGCTGACAGGGAAAGTAACAAGGGAAGGTTCTTGGAGTATTGATACTTCTTCACCTGTTTCCTCAATCTTTGTACCCATCAAACCACGCCTTGAAAAATGAACAATTGCTACATGACTCATCCCTGTGTAGATTGTGCTGCTGTTCTCTTCTTTCCCCAGACTTCAGCTTAACTGTAGTCTGGAAAGAAAAAGCAGCATGGAGGAAAGCACAAGAGGATCACATCTGATATTGCAGTTAATTTGGGAATGTTTAACCTCATCAAGTAATTTGCAAAAAGACTGATTGGAGGTTGCCCACCGTTTGCTACTGTTATGTGCAAACTGGGTCATAAGTATTGGCCAGTTTGCATAAACAACCCATGAGCTGTTGGGCCAAGCATGAAAGAGTAGACATACAGCCTGCAGTGCACCTGGCATTTCCACTTTTACTCAACACCTCATGATTGACTCCTTCATAGGATGCTGATCGTGTTGTCAGAACCTAAAAAAACATGGGTTAACTGCTGAGCTGTTTAGCCTCTCACCCAGATTCAGACAGCAATTTAGCTTAGCAAATTACAAGGGAGCAAATTGTGGCACTCCCAGGTAAAAGCAGAAATGACAGATGTGCGGCAAGTAGCACTTCCATTCTTTCCCTCTTATCCCTACAGGCCGTGAGTTTAACATATGGGCTGTTGTGTTCTGTGAACAACGTCAGTCTTTCGTTCCACACACCCTCCTATCTTTCTTAGTTTCTTCTTAAGCCTTCATTCACATGCTGGTTAAATTAGACAGAACCATCTTTTCCCTCCCCAGGGTGGATGATGTGGTCCGATCCATGTACCCACCTCTAGACGCCAAACTTCTGGATGCCAGGTGAGTAGTCTACATTTGGGTAGTTGGGTGGGTTGCTCATACATGCCCCAGAGCAGTGATGGCGAACCTTTTATATACCAAGTGCCCAAACTGCAACTCAGAACCCACATTTATCGCAAAGTGCCAATACTGCAATAAAACTTGAATTTGCTGACCACCAGCACAAGGGGGGAATGTTCCACTGACCACCAGCTTTTGGCTGGCCCTGAAAAAGGTATCTGAGTGTATTTCCTACCTTTCCTACCTTCTGCTAAAATCACAAGGTGTTGTGAAGACTCGAACCGGCGACCATTCAATCAACCAGCACAGCAGTTTAAACTACTGTGCCACCTGCATCCTGCTAAAATCTCAGTCCATGCAAATCCCTGGCAGCTCACTGACTGGGCCACGGGCCACGGGAAAGCTCAGCATGTTGAGGCTAATGATTGTCCTCTTTGCCTGGTGCCCTTAATCTTTCTGAATATGTGCATGGCTGCTGGGGCACCCTTGTGCCAGAGAGGGCTCTGCATGCCCCTTTGGGCACGCGTGCCATAGGTTCGCCATCACTGCCCTAGAGGATATTGGGACTCCTAGCAGTGGTTGTATAGCCAAGCTTTCTTGGACCATAATCATACCAATACTTTAAAAAAATTGTTCATGTTTCTGTGCACACATTTAAATGTTTTTTTAATGGCAGGCAGTCACAGCAGCCCCTCTGAAGTACCACTAGGGCACCTGGCAGCCAAAAGGAGGTTGCAAAAGGCATCTTAACAGCCATCTTTCACAGTCTCCTAAAAGAAAAAATGTAAAGGGGAAAAAAAGCCATGGTGAAAGAGGTTTGTGCAGGATGGAATCCCTGCCGGTGAGCACCTTGGGAGCAGCTGGCACGGCAAGGGACTTCTGCGGCTCCTGCCAATGGGGTTGGTAGTAGTCTGGCATGACCTACTGTGGGCATGTTGCCAGGATCGAGATGATGCAGCAACCCATTATGGATCAAACAAACGGGACATGGGTTCGCACAACACGACAGGCCACTGTGGCTTATAAGCTGCCCTGAGAAAATGCACAGCAGGTTTGCTTCAGCAGCGACCCGCTGGGTCTTAGGAGCTGTGGTTGTGCAAACTTGGTCTCTGCCTCGCTCTCAGATCCACTTCCAGCACAGATTGACCTCCTGCTATTCAGAAACCTCCTTTTTTCTCACTCCTTCACCTAGTAGAATAAAAAGGGGACTCCTCAATCCCCCCTCACCTAATCTTCTTGGCCCATCCCTGTTCCCATTAAAACTTCAAACAGAATGTGCTGACTACTAGCTGCCCTTTATCCCACCTTGCAGAGGTGTTGCCTACAGATGGGTGGAGGGATCCTGGGTATCTTTGCGGTCAGAAGCACTGAATTGAAAGGCATCCCAGGGAGGTCATTTAGACTGAGGTGAAGCATGTTAAGCATAAAATTTATTCCTGAACTTTAGTCATGTGAAAGTGAATAGAAGAATGAATTCCTCAGTGTTGAAGTGATCTTCTCTATAAAGTGGAGTACTCACTGGGTGATTCTTCTAGAGCCCCACTGAAAACTTGGCAGGGGAAGAATGAGGAATGAAGGTCTGTGCACCACACAAAGCTCCAGTGCTTGTGTCCAAGCACTCTGCTGAAGAATAGACAGATCCTTCTGCTGGTGCAGCAGGATGCTTGTGCATAAAAGGCTATTTTGTGTGCCTGCTGGCCTCACCTCTCTAGGCCTGGGACATGAAACAGCACCTTAGGTGAAAACCCCAGACTTCATGCACACAGACAAGATGCACAGGGTCTCAAGGGGCCAAGAAGGCCATCGGGTCCAACCCTCTGCTGGTGCAGGATGCCAAGTCACCCCATCCCACTCAGACGACTGTCCAGCTTTGCCTTGAACGTCTCTAGTGTGGGCGAGCCCACGACCTCTCTTGGCAACTGGTTCTACTGTCATATTGCTCTGAAAGTGGGAAACTTTTCCTGGTGTCTGTTGTGAATCTGGTGTGCTGCAGTGTAAGTTCGTTGTTCCATGTCCTACACTTGGGGATGAGTGAGGTCTTTTCCTTCCTCTTGGTGACAGCCTTTGAGGTACTTGTAGCATGCTATCATATCCTCTCATAGTCTTCTCTTCTGGAGATTAAACATGCCCAGTTCTCTCAGCCTATTTCCTTTCCCTTCTTTATGTTGGTTCATTTCATCTCCAGTGCTCTACCTCTCCTCTTTTAACAGTATCCCTCCCCTTAGGAGAAATATGAGCATGTGCCCCCTTTTCACTCAGATGTTATTCTCTTGTTCATGCTCACATTATATCACCTCTGTTGTGGTGTAGAAGTTTCTCCTAGATGCGCTTACAGTGCTGAGGCCATGTGAGGGTTTTGAGGTGCATTAGCATGTTCTCGTTGACCTAATTGCTCTGTAATGTGTTTGTGCAAATCTGGCCTAACTAATCATCAGCTGACATCTGAAGCTGAGAAGAGTGGATGAGGAGAAGCCTGCTTTGCCCTTACTTTTACTTCCCGCCCCCAATCTAGGACAACAGCTTTGCTGCTCTCTGTGAGCCATCTGGTCTTGATTACACGAAATGCCTGCCACTCTCCTGGCCACATGGACTGGATCGACCAATCGCTGTCTGCAGCAGAGGAGCACATGGCTGTGCTGCGGGAGGCAGCCCTTGCCTCTGAACCGGAGCGCGCGGCACCCGGCATGGAGGCCTTCCAACAGGAGCAGTCTGCAATCTGAGAAGGCACCGTAAAGCCTGTGGCTCATCTCCTTGAGTGCTGTTTATCGTGCCTGATCCTGCGTCTTGACCCAGCATCACATACATAAACCCAACACTCATGCAGCCTTCTGCATAATGTAGTTTGGCTGAATGGTCATCGCTGAGGTGACAGACTTGAATCTTCGCTCCGTTGCTGCTCTCTTCTGCTCTCTTGTGTGTGGAATAGTCACACCAAGATGCTTAAAATGCTGTTGGCGGAGGAGCACTGTTGCAGCTGTTTCTTTATAGTAATAATAATAGTTGTGGTAATTGGTATACAAATTGGTATACAAAGCCAGAAACAGGGCTGTATTGAAGTCTGGTAGATGTGACTTTAGATTAGGGATATATGAATTGTTCAATATCTCATTTCTCATTTTTCCTATTGTATGTTCATTCCATTCTATTTCTGTATCATTTTATTGATTTATTTAAAGTCCACATGAAAAAGTATATGCATTTTCATGCCTATTGCTCCTAACATGTTTTCGTGAGGATTTCCCCTAAAAATGGATTTTTGTACATTATTTTCATTATGATACACAATTTTGTGTGCACTTTCCTGATATCTGCATATTTGTATAAACTGTGCATAGAACTTTTGTTATTGGGTAGTTTAAAAGTACAGTAAGTGAGATAAATAAAAATAAAGTTTTGATCTGAGAAGTGCCCCACAGAATTCAAAGCTGCACGTACCAAAAAAGATAGTTGTGTTCCATTTGCATATTGGTTCAGGAAGTGCAGATTAGAGGAATTTACATTAAAATGTGAAGTGAATTAGGATCAGCAGCTAGCTAGTAAGATTTTGGACTCTGAATTAACACACTTCCCGTGCCATTATAATACCTGCTTTTGAAAACATCCCTTGCTTCTGGATACCTCAGTCCATACCTCCAGATAACCTCTCACAGTGGTTTTGTGTAGATGTTAAATAGCATAGGGGATAAAATAGTGCCTGCAGTACTCCCTGGCATAATCCCCCAGCACCACTTTCTGGAATTGGCCAGGCAAGTAGGAGCAGAACCGCTACAATGCAGTGCCTCCCACTCCATGCCCAGCCAGCCTATCCAGAAGGATACCATGGTCAATGATACCAAAAGCCACTTAAGAGGTCCAGGAGAATGAACAGGGCCATACTCCCTCTGTTTTCCTTCTAGTAAAGTTCATTCCACCGGACGACCAAAGCAGTTTCCATTCCAAAACTAGGCCTGAAGCCTGATGGAAAGGGATCTAGATAATCTATTTCATTCAAAAGTCCCTGGAGCTGTTCATCTCCCACCTGCTCAAGAACCTTGCCTAGGATGGGAATCTTGGCCACTGGCCAATAGCTATTAACATCCTCTGGGTCCAGGTTAGGTTTTTCAGGAGTGGCTTAATTACAGCCTCTTTTAGAGGGCTGGCACCATTCCCTCTCTTGAGGTATTCACAGCCTCCTGGACCCAGGTAGACACCTCTGTCTTAGTTGCTGTAATGACACATGAGGGACAAGGGTTGAGCACACAACTAGTGGGCTAGACTTGACCAAGCACCATGTCCACATCCTTGGGCCTCAATAATGGAAGCTCATCCAATAATATGACCAGATGGTGCTCTGAATGCCTCCGCTACTAGAACTGCTTCAATTGCCATGTCCAATTCATGCCAGATCTGAGTGACCTTATCTTCAAATTAAGTTAATCACAGTGAGCAACTGAGGGCTCCACAACTTCTTTTTCTGGCCCGGAATATAATAGGCCATGAACAAATTGGAAAAGCTCTGCTGAAGGACACTGAGAAGAGTGACTGCTGGTGGAAAAGAACTGCCTCTTTGCCACCCTCACCGCCATAGAATGGGCTCGATAGTGAGCTCTAACCTGTGTTCGATCAGACTCGGCATGAGTTTCCTGCACCTGAGCTCTAGCAATCTCCCCTCTTGCTTCGTTGCCCTCAGCTCAGGTGTGTACCAGGTGTGTACATTGTAGTCAGGCACTGCATAAAGGAAGATGGGACTTGGGAGCAATTGTGTCACTTGGCTAAGTTATCTCTGCATTCTACCGAGTGACCAGGGGTTCAACAGGAGCACCAGCCATGCCAGCTGGAAACCCACAGAGCCCTCTGGAAACCATCAAGATTCATTAGCCTCTGGGGACAGGCCATTTGAAAGGGAGCCAAAAGTCTAAACCTCAGTGGGAAGTGATCTGACCACAACAAAGGGCACTTCCCTCATTTCCAGACCACCACCCTCCTGCCCTGATAAGAGAACCAGATCAAGAGTGTATCCTTTTACATGCATTGGACCGATAAGAAGTTGAGACAGCCCAATGGTTGTCATGGTAACCATTAAGTTCTGAGTTGCCCCAGATACAGCATTCCTGGCGTGGAAGTTAAGATCCCCCAGAACCATCATCCTGGGGTTTTCAACACCAAGACTGGTGGGGGGGGGGGGAGAGGACTGGAACAAAGGATAGCTGTGAGGTAGCTAGCCCCTCTTCTCCTCTCCCAATATCATGCCTTCCCCTACCGTGACCAAAGTCATGGGGGCACCCCCTTGCTTCCCAAAGTCACCTAGATATATAATTAAAATTGATATGGCAAAAACAGCCGCTATGCTTCTAAGCTCATCAATAGCAATTGTTGTGAGACTGTCCTGGGCCAACCCACAGCTGTCCTGAAGAGGTTACTGAGCCGGCACTAAATGGACAATGCTGCTGCCTCAGTCTTCACCCCCTGAATAGGCCGCTGGCCCTGCATCCAGAGCGCAGATGCTGCTTCTCCAGCCAGGGCAGGGGAGGTAATACTTTGTGTTCAGTTGTAAATTTTGGGCTGTCTGAAACACAGATTGTGACATGTGACTCCTTGGCATTGGAGCTACCTGTTTCCTAAGGGCTGAGTGACTCCTTCATCAATACTACTTGTTTCCTTGGTTTTCCCAGGGATCATGATGGTTCTGTAGTACCAGTGATGGTTTTCAACACTTTAGGGATAAGTAACTGTAGTTTCTGCACTTGTTTCAGAAAAGGGTCCTGTCTGTTATCTCACCATGAATGAAGCTCATCAGGCACAGGGGAAGGTCTGTTCACACTGGTTACAAATGAAGCAGCAGGAGGAAAAAAATACGAATCTGTTGGGTTGCTGTCTGATTTCTGCAAGTTTCTCTAATAGCCTGGTTCTTTTCTTCTTGAATTTCCCTTGTTAAGTGGGAATTTTCTGGAGGCCTGCCTTTTTGCTTTCACAACTAAATATTTACTATAATAGCAGTTCATTATACAGAGTCCCCTTTGGTAGTTGGGTCACTCTCTGTATCCATCCTTCTGGCATCACATTTCCTTTTTAGATCAACTGTTGGTGTTGCTAGATTAAATATGGGAACAGAGAATGTGGTAATCTGGACCTGGGTCTGGCTCCTGCCTCTTTGTCTCTGTTACACAGTTGTTGCTGCTAAGTAGGATGTTTTAAGTTGGGGGCTTTCTGGAAGCATGTATAGGCAGCTGTTGAAATGTAAGGATAGGATTTTGTACATGTTCAGACAGAAAAAAAAGTGGTGCAACTCCCAGCATTCCCCAGCCAGCATGGCTCCTGGGAAATGCTCGAGTTTTAAGGACTTTTTTCTGTCAAGGATTTATAGAATTGCACCTTAAACTGTTAAAGTCTTCTACTCCAGCACTCCATTTCAACACATGGATTGGATAGATATCGTGACTTCAACATCAAATCAACTGTTTCTTCTCATCCTCATTCTCCCGCTACTCTCTCTGACTTTTCAAACATCTTGCCTGATCTGGAAGTCTTGCCTGCACTTTTGTAAATATTTGGATAGTTCAAATAAACATATTTTAGCATATAGATTGTAGAAGGGCCTTGGATTTTGAAATGATCTTTATAGGATACATCATCTTTAGAAAATGCTTACAAAGGTAATCCTGCCCTACTGGCTCTGTGCTCCTGGGGTGGATGGAAATGTACCATTTATAACAAATAAAGGGCTAAAATTGTTTTCAGGTTCTGTATTCAGTTTGGGCTGCTTATGAGACATAAGCAGCCCAAACTAGAAACAGTGTCTCTTAAACTTTGTGTCTCCAAAATAAAGCTTCAAAGTGTGCCCAATTGTATATCCTTAAGTGGTTTTATTTATTTATTTAGTTAAAGTATTTATATGCCGTCCTGTCGCGAAAGCCTCAGGATGGCTCACACAGATAAAATACAATAAAATATGACATAAATAAAAATTATAAATTATTAATTGGTACTTGACACCAATTAATACACCAATTAATACTCCTTAAGTATCAGAATTACTACTGCAAAAACAGTTTTGTACAAGTATGTAAAAGGAGAAAACATCCAGAGCCCCTGACAGGCACCCATTAACTTAGGATTCAGTGCTGCAGGCTGTCTGGAAAATGCTGAGAGTAAGTATTGTGCTGTTAAAAGCTTGAACATTGCAAACAGAACCACAAACCTGGTGCCCCACCTTTCCATATGACTGAGCTCACTTAATTCCCACTGACCCTGTTGTGTTCATCCATCTGATCCAAACAAAATTGGACCCCACCTCTACATCCCATAGGCTGTCTTAGAGCTTTTAAAGAACCTTTCCCTCCATGGAGATGCAAGTATGGAAAACATTCACCTATTGGATTTCTTTTAGCTATTTACAGTCAAATGAGCCTCGCAAAGAAACAAAGGTTAGGAGCATAGCACTTAAAGGATTACTTGTTTTCATTATGTCCTCTTCCACTTATGGTCACCTTATGGCTCCAAAATGTCAGCCCTGTTCAGCTCTTGTAAAATCAAGGCTATGGCTTCACTTATGGAATCAATCCATCTTATAACTGGTCTTCCTTTTCTTCTATTATTTGACTCTTTGTTGGTGCAGTCAAGCAGGAATTCTATTTTGGGATTGTGGCTACAGCACCAAGGGTAAAAAAGGCATGTTAGACATCATGATACAGCAAATGATCCCATAAACCTCCGTCCTAGCAAATACTGGCATTATGTAGTGTACACAAAGCTATTGTGCCTTCTTTAAAGGTGTCATTTTACGGAAGTTTAGTCAGAGAAAAGGCCTACAACTCCCAGCATGTCGTGGCCTCTTCTTTCCCTGACTAAACACGCTTCGGACCGAATCTTAAACTTTCGACAGGCGTTTGATTTAATTCCAAAATTTCCACACGTTCAAATATCGTAGCCTACCACGATTTTTAAAATGCTATTTAAAAACATTACAGGGGGCACCCGGATTTGAACCAGGGACCTCTTGATCTGCAGTCAAATGCTCTACCACTGAGCTATACCCCCACTTCCGGCAAATAGCTTCTCATACCTCCTTTTCAAGGCGTGCACAGGAACTATGTTCTGCAGGACTGGAGATAATTTACATTTACTTCCTATTTCAGTTCGACCTTTTCAACAGTGACGAACCAACGTAATTCTTAATTCGGTGAAAACAAACGTTCTAAAAAATCGCACAATGACTCGATAGTTATTTTCTTATACCTGGGTTGGAGAGAGCAATCAATTTAGAATATTCTGATTTAAATTTGCTATTATTATTTTACAATGAGGGGGTGCAGGGGTTTAATAGAGCAGTCAAAGCACGTTTATTCGGAAGTAAATCTCGCCTGTTTTTCGTAGCTTTCTCCCAAAAAATTGTGGATAGGATTACAGTCGAAGAATTGGAGGTCCGCTTTTCTTCCTGAGAAGCCCTATCCCTAGTCCCAAATATAATAGGAGCTGATTTCGCTTAGCGATGTTAGAAAAGATTCGTTTGCTCGCTATTTCTTAGGTTTTGAAAAAAAATATGTTGACATTTACCACGCAGCTACGGAGAAAGCAACAGTTTAATTACTAGGCTGACTCTTACATTTGTCAGCTCTTACTAGTTTCAAAAGGTCAACTCCAGTTACTATCAACGGATTTGGGTCCGGTCAGGCTCACAAGGCTGAAAACAAGTTCTTGGTGGAAGAGCATATCACGTGCTTTTAGGACCAGCATATACAGAGAAATCCTATAGACCGCAGCACGTTGATAGGGAAAGTCTCGAACCGAAATGTTTGACAGCGATATGTGAGAGCTGAGTGTAACTGTCTCGCCACTGCGAACCTTGCTACGATGTGCTTAGAAGCTGGCATTGACTTTACAAATTCGAACACTTGTTTGAGGTTATAAGACCAGTTTTTTTAAACCTGTTTGGAGCAATCAGCGAGTAAGCCCATTTCAGTGACAGGACTGACTTTCGCGGAAACGTATCGCAGACGCGACCGGTAGCACTTCACCGCCGCATGTATAGGCGGCGCTGTGGGCAGCCTTACCTTTTCTTTCTGATGTCACGTGAGAGAGTCGTTCCACGTGATACGGGCGTACGGAAGAAATATTAATCGTCCCAGCAACCTTTGCGCCTTCTTTTTTTTCTTTGCGAGGATACCAAGATGTCTAAGCGAGGTGAGGCCTAGTGAGCAGACGGGCTTGGAAGAGGATCCGTCTCCATCCTTCCACCCTGGCGAAAAACCAGGGCTGATTGCTGGTGGAAGGACCTTGCTAGGAAATGGGGATGGATTTTCCCGCATAGCAGTTCGTAGAAGAGACTTCTGTGGGCAGGGAATTATTGATGGGTGGTGGGTGGAGGAAGTTCAATGTAGAGCAAGATCTCTCCCCCCCCCCTTTCCCCAGTCTCTGTTTGCTGCTTGAGCTGAATCCTACCACGTCCTCGATAATAACAGGCCTGGGATTTTACTGAGTAGTGGACAAAAATCCCTTTGGATAACCCTGCCTTCTCAAACCCAACATACCGAGGGATACCAGAGCGAGCGAGAACGGAGATGAATGTTGGTGTAACATATCTGTCCGCTTGCATTCACTGAAGTTTAGTTTCCATAGAGGAAGATGAGCTTGATTTGTGTCAGACTTTAGATTGCAACCCACGTAGGGAATGGCGCTGGAGTTTGTGAAGCACCATGCATACGAATTGTGCTGTTTTAGAAAGAATAACTTGCAGACAGTAGCTCCATGTTTATCTTCTTGGAACGTACATGGTTTTGTTGTTCTTGTATGTAGGGTTGTTAAATTTACATATTTATTTACTTAATAACTAGGTCTTAAAGGGCACATAGAGCAGATATGCAGAATGATCCATCTAGCCCCTTAGCAGGCTATGTGATGTTAGGTGGATGTGATCAGGGACCAGTGCTTGGATTAGGGGCCAGGTTTCACCATTCATGAACTTCATAGTTAGGAAAGCTCTGTACAAAACCAAACCAGCTTGATAGAGGAGTCATGGCAATTAGGTTGGCTGTGCCCTGCCTTCATCTGTCCAGATGCCTCCTTACAGTGAACACCATCCCTGCTGTTATCTCCAAGTTAACAGCAGGGATGGGAGGTAGTGGGACTTGGCCTTAGCCAAGGAGCGTAAGTGCTCTCTCTTGAAAAGGGTGAGCCTTGTCACCATTCATCCTTACTGTTTAGTTCAGTCTCAGATTAAAGTAGTAGGATGTTCTGCTGGTATGTTCCAAGAGGAGAAATAACACTGGGAGTGCTCTCAGAGGGTGTTCCTCCACAGGACAAGGTTTAGACTTTTAAGCCCTTCTGGCTAAACTGGGATGCCAAGTGTATAGGTTTAGTTGGTGAGCTGGAAGCTCTGTATCCCTGTCTTGCCCATCTGAGTGCTGCAGCATATGTTACATATGTGCAGCTATTTTGAGAAATGGCAGAAGAATGGAGAAATCGCTTAGGTTTCATGTACTGCATGTTTGAATGCATTCATTTTAACAGTGGAGTAATTAGTAAAGGTGGTGAAGATGGAAGGTAAGTTACCTGTAGAATAGTAGGTGGAAGAAGTTGGACTTTATTTTAATAACAACCAGAGGTACAGTCAAAAGTGGCAGATGCTATGTGGCTGGCTAGCATTAACTGACTATATATCTTTTGTACACTACAACAGGACGTGGTGGTTCTTCTGGTGCAAAATTCCGCATTTCCCTTGGTCTCCCTGTGGGAGCTGTCATCAATTGCGCAGATAACACAGGTACAGCTTATTTGGATTGGTTTGGGGAAATAATCCGGATTCTCAACACCAAGCTCAAAGTACTAGGAGTTAGCTATGGCTGCTTTGTTTTTGCCCGTGCTGAGGGTTATATCCTTTTATCAGATGCATAAGGTGATGTATCTTTTCCTGCCATGAAAAGGTAGTACTTTGATTTGACTTGTAGCTGAAAAGGCAGAAAAATGTTTTCCTTAAGAGAAGGACTGTAATTTAGTAGAAAGGCACATGCTTTGTATATGAAAGGTCTGTGAGTTAATCACCAGCATCTCCCAAGTGGTACTAGGAGACACACATGGCTGAGACCCTGGCTTGTGTACATAGTACTGGGCTAGGTAGACCCATGGTCTGACTGGGTAAAAGGCAGCTTCCTGTGTTCTTCTAAGGGAAGAAGAGTGCCTTCTAAGTGTAAACTTTGTAGTTACTTCACATTTTGGTATACTTGGAACATTTGGCTGTAGAGAGCCTGTTCAAGCTGGTTGGCTACATTTAGGCTGGCATGCAAATGTGTTTGAGGAATTGAGGGATCCTCCTTTATTCGCTGTGTAATATTTTGGAGTGTGAGAAATGGACTGGACTTGCATCAAATCAGAAGAGGCTTCCCCAAGTGGGTTAAAGACTGGGTGCCTGCTTCCACTTGAGGCCTCCAGATCAGCACAGATACAGATTCATAGTTCTTAGACTGGTGTAGATGTTTGCATTTTAGATTTCATAGAACCTTAATCAGAAAGGTGGCATGCTGTGCTCTGGATTTTGTGAAGGGTCTATGGGAACAGATCCATGGGTTGTTGATCCTAATTGGGGAGGCAGGGGTGAGGATGAATATCATTGCCTTCAGTTCTAAACAATAAGCCTTCATATGTTTGGAGTGTTGACAGCCGTCCCAGAGAAATCAGTAATCGTGCCTAGAAGCATGGGACTTTCCCTTCTGAAAAGCACTTGCTTGGGTCTGTTTTCCTGTGGCCCAGGCAGTGATCACAGAAGGGTAAAGTAATAGCGGTACTCCTGGGTGAGGTGACAGCTTGTGCTGTTGTGCCTCAATCGGCGTGCCACAGATACCCTCAAGAGGAAGTCTGGCCTGGAGGATTTGTAGACTGATGATTGCTCTATTTCACAGGTGCCAAAAATCTGTACATCATCTCTGTGAAAGGGATTAAAGGACGCCTAAACAGGCTGCCAGCTGCTGGCGTGGGGGACATGGTAATGGCTACTGTCAAAAAAGGCAAGCCAGAGCTCAGGAAGAAAGGTGAGTTATCAAAGAAATTGATTTCAATTCTTTTTCTTGTTTCAGTAGCCTTAGGACTGTGAGAGCAGAAAATGGCGATGAAGGAGATTGTTGTCACAACCTTCTGTTAACATGGTGTTGATTAGAGAAAGTGTTGGATCAGATTTAATCCTACTTCAAGTAAATCCATTGGCATAGGTGGGACTTGAAGTAATCAAGACCCCTCTAGCGAGGGCAGGTGGTGTCTTGCCTCATTTTCCTAGAGATTTGTAAAAGAATAGAAGTAACTGAGAAAATGCCTGCTGTACCTACCTGAGCTTGCTAGCAAATGAGTGTCTGCTTTAAGCTGGCGTGAATCCTCACCAAGGGAAAGAGGCATTTGCCCATTGCAAGTAGAAATATCAGTGCTTGCCCACTGTGTCACCTTGTAATACTTGACCTCAAGGTGCATTTTTTTGCCCATTTGGATTGTTCACATATGGGCAGCATGCCCCTCCCCCGTGGCAAATCTTGTGGCCTCCCCCTAGTTACCTGGTACTGTGGTTGTCAAAAATGATGCAAAGAAAAAATGGTACACATCCAGCTCTTCCAACAAGTTTATGGTGCCCTCAGCCCGTGTCCCCTGTCACTATGGGTGTCACTGAAACTACTGCTCAAAGCAGTGCAGAAAGCACTTGGCAGAATTGCCTGCTTTTCTCTCACAGTCATCATAGTTCCAGCTGCTGAAAGATCCATCCATCCCCATCCCCTCACACACATCCCCCCCCCCAAAATCTTGTGAAGTAGTGCTGGAGTAGTTGTCCCTTTCCTTGTGGCTTCTGTGAGAAACATTTTGGTAGGTGTCTCTCACATTTCTGTGTTGTGGAGGATGAAGCTTGATAATTCTCCTATACTGTAGAGCTGCTTTCAAATTCTCAGAAACAAAATTGGTCTCAGTTTTGCTGCTGCAGCAACAATGTGGTGATTGTGGAGTGCCTCCATGGGTTGGGGGACCCTTGGTTTACCAAAATAAGCAAACTTACTGAATGTGCTTGGTAGACAATCTGTCAGTTTTCAGAGCTTCCTATATAACCATGTTATTTTCAGGGACACAGAAGCACTGAAATCTCTTATTTAAAAAGGTCAATGGTACCAATAACCAGTTAGTCATCATACAGCTTTTGTCTAGATTACCAAAGAAAACATATGTGAGCCATGATGGTGGTGTAAAGAGGGTTTAATGCTTGGAGCACAATTGGTAGCCAGTGAAAATGTTCTCAACGTGTGTTCTCCCAAGTTTGTGTTTGAAACATGTATAAACTGTGGTGTTGTATAATGATGGTATTTGAATAGCTTATTCTACTTGAAGAATAAAAAACTGACCATATATAAGTCAAAAAGCAGCTAAAACAGCACCTAGGGATGCCGTTGGTGGAATAGGCAGCATATAAATATTTTTTAAAATATAAATTAAATAAAAGTACCTCATAGGTAGAACAGCATAAACAGAAGGAAGCACAAAAACGGCTGTTGGTCACCATCACTGCCTAGGGCTTTCAAAACAAGATTGTATTACTCTTCAGAAGGGTAGTAGCGAGAGAATACTAGAGTATTGGAGCTATTCCTAAAAAAGCCCTTGTTCCTGGAGGAAGCTGACACAGGATCCTGTAAGTTAAGATCTGAATTGGTTGTACTAGAATATGAAGATTTCCACAAGCAGAAATAAATAGGATAAAATATGTGGTAGTAATAAAGCTCTGGTTAAAGCAGCAGTGCATTTATTTTGGCAGGGAGCATAGGAGGTGTGATTGTTCTTCCTGATGTATCCTGTTCTTCCCCCTCTCCTATGCCTTTCTTCTAGGCAGTGCTTGCTTGGGAGATGGCAGCTTCAGGATTAACTGGAAATCACAGCCTATAGTTTGGCAGATCTTCTGCCTCTGAGGAGCTGCTGATTGTGGTATAAGAGGAGGTGGTGGTGGCGGCAACCAAGAACAGAGGAAAGAAAAGCACTCTTTAGGAACATGGGTGCCAGGGCCAATTTGTTAAGAGCCAGAAGTTTCTGATCACCAGGATTTTTGCAGCTGTACTTTTCTGTTCACATGTTAAGGGCCACAGGGACCATCTGGCTCCTTGGGCTTGCAGAACCCTGGCTGCATGTATTAATTAAATAGCAGTCTAACAGTGCTACTAGGATCAGTAGGATTCACAGTGCTTAAAGCTGGATGGAGATGATAAATATATGTGTGTGTGTGCACATGCAACACACATGTGTGCACTTGGCATCCTAAGAATCTCAGCTCTTGAATTCTGTGCACTTGTGAAATGCATTCAGCTGGTGCCCAGAATGTGTTAAAGCCAAGCATTTATAGCCACAATAATCTATGTTTCTATTTTGGAGCTTTAGGGGTGTGTAAAGCACTGGTTTCAAGCCCAGTGATGTGTGTTTTTTCCTTCCTTTTTCTTTGACTCTAAGCTTGATTTTCTTCTTCCTGTAGTACATCCAGCAGTAGTGATTCGTCAGCGGAAATCATACAGAAGAAAAGATGGTGTGTTCCTGTACTTTGAAGACAATGCAGGGGTGATAGTAAACAACAAAGGCGAAATGAAAGGTATGGTTGCTGAGATGACCAATCAAGAAAGAGTAAAAACTTGGTCCTCATTAAGTGTCACTGTTATTCTTTCAGCTGAAATTTGCAAGTTTCATGGGTCATATTTTTAATAGTGCACTTTCATTCTTTTCCCACAGGTTCTGCTATCACAGGCCCTGTAGCCAAGGAGTGTGCGGATCTGTGGCCCAGGATCGCCTCCAATGCTGGCAGCATTGCATAGGCCTCTCTTGTGCTCTTTGTAAAAAAATAATAATAATAAAGTGGTTCTACTGAATCTTCTGGCTCATACTGTGAATGGGTGGTGAGAAGGAATTTGAAGGAGTATATACATCAGGAATCCTCAAACTTTTCAGCAGGGGGCCAGCTGAAAGGTGCCGGTGCTCGCCGCGGGCCAGAAAGGTGGTGCTGGCAGTGCGCGCAGGCTGGCGAGGGGGCAAGGGTGGTGCATGCGGGGTGGGGGTGGGACGCATGGCGAGGCGTGGGCGGGCAGGCGCGCGAGGCAGCGGCTGGCTTGCTTGGAGATCATTTTCTCCGAGTGAGCAAACCGCTGCCTCACTGCGCGCGGACGAGGTGGGCGGCAGCGGGTGCACACATGGGCACGGGCACGGTGGGTTCAAATGGGCATGGCGGGCCAGATCCAATCCCTGGGCCTTAGTTTGAGGACCCATGTTATACATACTTGGCTTCTGAAGACAACAGACTACTAAAAGAAAAGGCTTGTCAGCAACCAGTAAGGTTTAAAAAATAGTGGTATAGGAGTCATCAAATTCACTGGATTACTTAGATCAGTCATTTATACCTTCACCCAACCTCCCTCACAGTTGTTTGGAGAATAAAAATGGGTGATAGATGTCCTCCTTGAAGGAAAGATGCAATATGAACGGTGCAGTCCTATTACAATGATTGTAAGCCCCTGAATTCAAAGGTTTATCTTCCTGTGCAGAGTGGGAAGAACAGCAGTGATGATAAACTTTTCCATCTGAGTGGTGGAAGTGACTTGCCTTACAGTTGGCAGATTGGGCTAAACCACCATGGATAATTTGATAAACTTGTGTGCTGTGTGGTATATCTCTAGTTCAGTGGAGCTCTGTTTTCAAGCAGGCCTACTTATGTATGATACCACCACTTGTGTGACCCAACTTACAGGCTGTGACCTAGCTGAGGGCTTGCTGTAGGCACATTCCTAGCTTATATAAGCTAATTATGCTAATAGCAGCTTTTAAATCTAATAAACTTCAGCAGTGCTGGATGGCTCTAGCCATTAGACCACTCCAAGGCTTGCCCAGTTTCTTGTGCCCCTTCCAAAGGAGAATTTGTAAATGTCACTCACAACTGGCTCAAGCAGCTTTTTCCATTTGTGAAACATTTGCTCTTTGGAACAATGTTTGAAGGTACTGATCTTGTTTGGGGTTGCTTCTTCACCCTTGTGAACAATTTGTTGCAAGAGGGGACAATTTGTGGGCCTTCGCATGGTGTAGGAGAACTGTCATTCTTCATCACTGCCAATACTAGCTAGATGGTGGCACTTGCAGCACAACAAGAATTGGACTGTTGCCAACTGCTGATGAGTTACCTGCCCTAAAAAATTCCAGAAGCTAAACATTACGTAGATGAAGGAAACATGGATGCCCCCTTATAATACACTCAAACTTTGAAGACAAGCTAGCCAATGCAAGATAGGAAAGTCTAACCTTTGGCCACTGAGGTTTGAATACAGTGCTGCTGCTGACAGGATTTCAGACTTGGCTTTGAATTCTTGGTGTTTTTTTAATGCTGATGATATGAATGATAGCTATGAACAGCCCCAAATAAGCTTCACATAAAGGCAGGCTGTTCTGGGTAATCTTGTAGAAATCACTCAAAGAGGATGTTCTTTTTCTGTGTAGTGTTTTACACACTACTGAATGTTATTCACAAGACAAAACCTATTCAATAGAACCATGAGTGTACTGGTCAACCGCTTTGATTTCTATATGGGTGCTAAGGCAGAGATGCTATGGTGAACGAAGGCTGCTGTTTGCCAGCTCCATGTTGCTTGTTGTAATAGCTTTATTATGCCAAACTAAATAAGCTTCAAGATCCACAGATCTCTTCATTAAGCGTTCTAAACAAGAGGGGAGGAGGGAAATGGCTAGATGGTCAAGAACAGTGCTTGCAAGTTCCCACTTGGTCCAGTGGTGTAGTGTGTTGGGGAGAAGCCAGCAGGTAATGGGATATTGGTTACCTTTGGGAAGCAGAGGGGGAGTGGGGAAGAGAATGTTACGTTCTCCCTTTGCATGAGTGTGTAGTTCAGCGATACGTGTGCTTCAGCCAGGATGGATTCTACCCATTACTTGATGGAATGCCTCTCCTAACCACAGTCTACCCAGAAATTAAGATCAATATCTGGGGCTTTCCTCTGGGTACCACCTCTGAGGAAGGCTCAGTGGCAACAAGGAGGGCCTTCTCCATCATGGCCCTCCAATTACAGAACAACTTCCCCACAGAGGCTCAGATGGCACCAGCCCTATCCTTTCGGCAGCATGTTAAGATTGCTCTCTGCCATGACAATTAACAGTTCTAACACATGAGGGTGTTGGGTCTTATATTAAATAGTCGAGCTATTTAAGTCATCTAAATTTGGTTTTTAAATTTTGTAGTGAAGTTTCATAATTTTTATTATCTGTACTTTACAATGCTTTTCAGTATATCTATATCTAAAGAGCTGTGGCTATTGGGCAACATAGAAATAAGTAACATTCTCCCAAATGGAGGAATATGGAGGTAGCTGCCCCCTCCTTTCCCATTGTCAGTAGGAGCAGCAGGGCCCTCTCCAGAACACAAGAAGAGCCATGCTGGATCAGACCAAAGACTGATATATAAGCAGGCATGCCACCTCTGGTGAAGGAGGTAACACAGCTAGTAATGCTAGTAGCTAGAGATAACCTCCTCCCACATGAATCCATCCAATCCCACTTTGAAGCCATCTAAATTTATGGTTATTACTACTTCCTGTGGCAGTACCATAATGTGTACATTGTGTGAAGCAGTACTGTCCCTGGTCTGTCCTAACCCTTTCCCCAGTCAGCTTCAGGGGAAGACCCCAGGTTGGTGTGTTATGGGAGAGAAAAATGTCTCCCCTTCCATATTCTCTGCTCCATGCATAATTTTAAGCACTCTAACACACCTCCCCTTGCTCACCCTTTTTCTAAACTGAAGATTCCCAGTTATTGCAGTCGTTGCTCACGGGGAAGATGTTCCAACCTGTTGATCATTTTCATTGCCTTTTTCTGTATTTTTTCGAATTCAATAATGTCCATATTCATCTGAGGCAACTAGATCTGACCAGAACTCGGTGCAGTTGCACCAAATGTTTGTACAAGGACAGTAAGATCCTAGCATGGAGTTTGCCTCTTTCACAGTGACTGTACATTGAGATGACATTTTCATCGCTCTGTCCACGACCACCCCAAGATTCCTTTCTTGCTCTGTCAGTGTTAGCTCAGATCCCATCAGCACATATTTGAAGTTGCTCATCAGGGATTGTCCCTTTATATGCTTACTGATGCTATCTTTAATTATGCTTTCAAGCAATTTAGCCAGAAAGGATATCAAGCTAACTGGCCTGCAATTTTCTGGATCCCCGGACCCCTTTGTAAAAATTGGTATTACACTGGCCATTCTTCAGTCCTCTGGTACAAGGGCAAATTTTAGGGACATATTAAATATTTTAGTAAGAAGGTCAGCAGTTTCATGTTTGGGTTCCTTGCTAATTCTAGGACCAGGATATTGTATGACCACTTGCTGGCATTCAGATTGTCAATGAGATTGATAACGTCATCTTTTGTCATGGCTAGCTGCCTTAATTCCTCAGTCTACCAGATTACATAAACTTGGGGACAGGTATATGCTCTGCATTCTCTGCATGTGAAGACTGAAAAAAATAATAATTAACTCCACTTTTCTGTGATCTCCTAAACCCCCTTAGTGTACCTTTAATTCCAATATTGTCCATTGGTCCACCTGCATCTCTAGCTGCCTTCCTAGATTTGATATATTTAAAGAATTCTTTATTGTTTGTATTGTAAAATGCTCCCAGAGAACCCTTATTGGCCTCAATGTTGTTGTTGTTGTTGTTAGTTGCGAAGTCATGTCCGACCCATCACGACCCCATGGACAACATTCCTCCAGGCCTTCCTGTCCTCCACCATCCATCCCCCGGGAGTCCACTCAAGCTCACACCAACTGCTGAGTTCAATTGAACAAAAAGAATGTTTTGACAAACTTGATATTTCTTTTAAGGAGGCTTTGGTAGGTGTACAACCTAAAATTGAACAGAATCTACAAAAAATACAAGCATATGAAAAAGTTGAAACCGTGGATAAAGAAACAAAATTAGCAAAGCCAATAAATAAGCTATCAACGGGTTCACTTGTTATATTAGAGAGAAAGGATTGATTCTGGCTATCAAAAGAAGGAACATTTCTTACTGGGAAAAAAGGAGGAGGAATGGATCCCGAATTAACTACATATTATTTTGAGGAAGAAGAAACAGTGAAGATTGATTTGCAGCAAGAAATACAGTTATTGGAAATGAATATTGATTTACAACAAGTGCTACACCTACTGAAAACAAAGCAAGAAATAGTGAATATTGATTTGCAACAGGAAATACGGACATTGAAGAATACTGATTTACAGCAAAGCACTACCACTACTGAAAACAAAGGAAGAGAGATGAGGCAGGGGAGTAAAGAAGAATAAGAGAATTTCTTATCTTAAAAAGGAATGATTTAAATGGGTTGGCATGTTTATATGTGGTATGGAAAGGCTAAGGTATATGATTCTTTTGTTCTTAAGTTACCATACTAGAAAATTATTAATGTAGGTGTAGGAAAAGCTGTACTAAGAAGGTTTTCTATTTCTTTCTTTCTTTTTTTTACCCATGGAAGCTTCTCTGTATTTAAATGCATTGAATTCTGAAAGGATTATAAGATATGATCTAAACTGAGCTAAGAAATATAACAGGGAGTTGAGCTTTTTCTTTGTTGGTGACATAAGGGGTAGGTACAATCAAGCTATGTTAAAGCTTATAAAGAGTGGGGCTTTTATAAGGAGTTAATAGCATTTGATTAAGTGATGTTTAAGTTAGATGAAACACTAGTAACTTAGTATTAAGAAAATGTGTATAAAATCTATTATAGGTCGTAGTTGTCACCAAATAGATTAGCTAACATGTTTCTAAAGAAGTTAAATGGATGTTGTGTATTTAAACATAAATTGGGTATTTTTATTATACAGAGTAGAGGAAGTGGTACAAAAATTCCTAGTTTCTTAAACCGGAAATGTCTCTTTTAGTAGGTATTATATTGGAACATTAGTAAATAAGAAATGTATTTGATTTTACTTGTAACCTTTGTGGTGAGGAGTCTATCTGTTCAATACTGGAAAAATGAAGAATTATCCTTCGACGAAATGATTGAAATGGTCAGACTGAATTTACCAGTGATACAGAAATGGATAGATTGACTTTATCACTGAAGGAAAAAGAAGATATCGACTTCTATCAAACTTGGGATTTTTTTTTTATTATTGGCTGGAGAAACGGGACTTGGCTTAGAGTGAAATATCTTTTTAAGTTATTATAAATGGATTTGAATATGACTATAGAATGTTAAAAGATATGTAGTAGGGGGCTGACCCAGAATGTTCGATGTATTTGATGATTGATGTTTTTAGTATTAGTTTTAAAAAATTTAATAAAAATCTTAAAAAGAACTTGCCACGATTTGTTGTGATACACACAATCAAAGGCTTTAGCATAGTCAATGAAGCAGAAGTAGATGTTTTTCTGGAACTCCCTAGCTTTCTCCATGATCCAGCGTATGTTGGCAATTTGATCTCTAGTTCCTCTCCCTCTTCAAAATCCTGCCTGTACTTCTGGTAGTTCTCGGTCCACATACTGCTGGAGCTTAGCTTGAGTGTAACTTTGCTAGCATGTGAAATGAGTGCAATAGTGCGGTAGATTGAACATTCTTTGGCATTGCCCTTCTTTGGGATTGGAATGTAAACTGACCTTTTCCAATTCTGTGGCCACTGCTGAGTTTTCCAAATTTGCAGGCATATTGAGTGTAGCACTTTTACTGCATTGTCTTTTAAGATTTTGAATAGCTCAGCTGGAATACTGTCACCTCTGCTAGCTTTGTTGTTGCTTAGACTTCCTAAGGCCCATTTGACTTCACATTCCAGGATGTCTGGCTCGAGGTCAGTGACCACCCCATCGTGGTTATCAATTATGTCAAGCTCTTTCTTGTATAGTTCTTCTGTGTAATCTTGCCACCTCTTCTTAATCTCTTCTGCCTCTGTTAGGTCTCTGCCATTTTGGTCCTTTATCATGCCCATCTTTGCATGAAATGTACCCTTCATATCTCCAATTTTCTTGAAGAGATCTCTGGTCCTCCCTATTCTATTGTTTTCTTCTGTTTCTTTGCACTGTTCATTTCAGAAGGCATTCTGATCTCTTCTAGCTATTCTCTGGAATTCTGCATTCAATTGGGTGTATCTTTCTCCCTTGCCTTTCGCTTCCCTTCTTTCCTCAGCTATTTGCAAAGCTTCCTTAGACAGCCATTTTGCTTTCTTGCATTTCTTTTTCTTTGGGATGGTTTTAGTTGGTGCCTCTTGTACAATGTTGTGAACCTCTGTCCATAGTTCTTCAGGCACTCTGTCTATCAGATCTAATTCCTTAAATCTATTTGTCACCTCTTCTGTATATTCATCAGGGATATGATTTAGGTCAAACCTGAGTGGCCTAGTGCTTTTCCCTACTTTCTTCAATTTAAGCCTAAATTTTGCAATGAGAAGTTCATGATCTGAGCCGCAGTCAGCTGCTGGTCTAGTTTTTACTGACTGTATAGAGCTTCTCCATCTTTGGCTGCAGAGCACATAGTCAATCTGATTTCTGTGTTGACTGTCTGGTGATGTCCATGTGTAGAGTCGTCTCTTGGGTTGTTGGAAAAGAGTGTTTGCTATGACCATCATATTCGCTTACAAAATTCTACCAGCCTGTGCCCTGCTTCATTTTGTACACCAAGGCCAAACTTGCCTGTTATTCCAGTTATCTTTTCGGTTCCTACTTGAACAATCCAATCCCCCATGATGATAAGGACATCATTTTTGGGTGTTAATTCTAGAAGGTGTTGTAGGCCTTCATAGAACCGGTCAGCTTCAGCCTCTTCAGCACCAGTGGTTGGGGCATAGACTTGGACTACTGTGATGTTGAATGGTTTGCCTTGGATTCGAACTGAGATCTTTCTGTCGTTTTGGAGATTGTATCCCAGCACTGCTTTTCCTACTCTTTTATTGACTATGAAGGCTACTCCATTTCTTCTGAGGGATTCTTGCCCGCAGTAGTATACCTGATGGTCATCTGATTTAAATTCACCCATTCCTGTCCATTTTAGTTCACTGATTCCTAAGATGTCGATGTTCAGTCTTGTCATCTCTTGTTTGACCACATCCAGCTTGCCTGGATTCATGGAGCTTACATTCCAGGTTCCTATGAAGTATAGATCTTTGCAGCATCGGACTCTCCTTTCACCACCAGATACATCTACAACTAAGTATCCTTTCGGCTTTGACCCAGTCGCTTCATTCTTTCTGGCGCTACTAGTACTAGCCCTCCGCTCTTCCCCAGTAGTATATTGGACACCTTCCGACCTGAGGGGCTCATCTTCCGGCGTCATATCTTTTCGCCTTTTGGTACTGTCCATGGGGTTTTCATGGCAAAGATACTGGAGTGGGTTGCCATTTCGTTCTCTAGAGGATCACGTTTTGTCAGAGCTCTCTGCTATGACCTGTCTGTCTTGGGTGGTCCTGCACGGCATAGCTCATAGCTTCATTGAGCTATGCAAGCCCCTTCACCACAACAAGGCAGTGATCCATGAAGAAGCAATGTTATTAATGATATGTTTATCAAATGCCTTCCTTGCTTCTCTGATTGTCTGCTTACATCGTCTTTGTACAGTCTTGTGGTCCTTTCTGTTCTCATTTGGACAAGACTTCTATCTCTCGAAGGAAGTTTTTTCCTCCTCCCTAATAGGTTCCCTGACTCTACTCATTAACCAAGCTGGTGATTTCCTGGACTTTCTGCTGCCTTTTCTCACTTGTGGTATGCGTATTTTCTGTGCCTCTACCTGTAGTAATTTCAACTAATCCCCAAGCCATATGAAGCAAATTCATCTTCTTGGTACCCTTCTTCAGTTTCTGCTTGGCTAGTTTCCTTAATGCTGGGTCTCCTAACTAATTGTATATTAAATCTGATGCCAGATTGGTCACTTTCATCTAAGGGCTGAACAACATTTACATCCTGTACTATGTCATGATCAACTTGCAATGACTTTATTGCAAGTTCAGAATGTGATGTCTAGCCAACTTCTAGAGTGTGGTTTTTATATATGACATAGGTTTTAAAATCCTGTTGGTGCTATAATCAATAGGAAAGCGTGAAGAGATCAGGACTGAGGGAATAAATAGAGGAAGATAAAGGAGAAGACTTGAAACCATAAGAATATTATTTTGTCTAGAAGTTTTTTGGGAAAGAGTAGAGGAAAACATCTAGCTCTGCCCTTACTTGCTTTTGTAGTTTTATCACTGATAATGAGGATGGAAGAATAGAAGATTTTTTAGTCACAGTGGGATATTCTCCCCTCTACCCTGCAACGCACAAACACAAAATGAAATTCATCTACTTAATTCCAGGTGAATAAAGAGGGCTTCTACTATATGGTAGAACTGCTTTTCTTGGTTGTTAATGGAACAATGGTTGCTGATAGCATCATAGTGACTGTGTGGTAAGGCAATAAAGAGAGTTGCTAGGGTGGCAGTGGGAAAGGGAGGTTGGTTCAGTAGGTGACATTTTTCTCTTGTCTCTACCAAACATGACTTGTGTTACAAGAGGATGCCTGCAGAGACAGAAGGAATTTATCCTTGATGGTGTGGCAGTGGACACCATCGCTGGAAGTTATACCAACATCTTGCCCAAACTGTGGTCTGCATTGCCTCCTTATAACGCTCAGCTGGACATCCACGCTGCCAGCTACTTTTCATCCCCAGTGGTCAAGTCAGTGTTGAAAAAGACAGGCCAGGTAATCACGTCTGGAGACTGAGATGGAAATTGTACAGCAGCTAATCACAGGAACTCAAGTGGTTTGTGCTCCTAAAAGATGATAGCCTATCAAATCTTGTCCTCAGTTTGCAGTCCATGAACTGCCTGAGGCTCACGTAATTTTTTCAATGGGGCCTAATTCTTCCTCACATCATTGCTGCACATTCCTTGGCTACATTACTGTCACTCCCTCAATTCTAGCTGCCTTGCTAGGGAAACAATTCTTCTGTGAGGCTGATAGCTCCTGAATAGCAAGTCCATGATGGGGTGTGATAGCAGGTGTAGAGTGAGCTGATGTATCTTCCAATTTACTTTTATAAAAGGATGCACAGCAGAGTGTGTGCTGACTAGGCAAGTGCATGAAGTACTTAGTTACAGAGGTTCCTGTCTTAGGAATTTGGCTAGCAAAGTCTGTTGGTCCTGATTCAGTTCTGTTTAATTTCTTGTCTAGGGTGTTCAGGAGGCATTAAAATAGCTTTCTGCTAGCAAAAGAAAAATATGTTTTAAAGAAATTCTTCTACATCTTGATTTTATTTACTTTTCTAACCTATCACATAGTGTCCAGCTGGAATCCAATTCATGCAGAACATATGAAAAGACAAAGTAATTATGTGGGAAAATATAATTAACACCAAATTATGCTAATCCACAAAGTCTAGCACAAGTACATCCTTTCAAAATACCTTTTCACATGGCACATGGATGCTCAGAAAGGGTGTGTACCAGAGTGTTACATGGGTTAGACTCATGTTGGCAATTAATTAATTACCACATTAATGCACAAATTCCAGGATGGCACTTGATTGTGAGCACATTTTTCTTTCAGTATTTCAGTATTCTTTCTTTTCTTGGAATGTTTTGGTTTCCACTGCTTGATGTCATAGCTGTGTCTATGACCTCACGGTACATACCACCCATTACTTCAATTCAATTATCAAAGAACATATTTGGAAATGGGAAAAACTAGAAAGAAAGAAAGAAAGAAAGAATTAGAAAGAACCCCTCTCTCCCGTATTTCTACCTTGAATGTAACTGAACCTGTTTAAGAAAAAAAAAATGTGTCACCTTAAAATTAACAAATGTATGGCATACGGCACAGTACACAATTCATCATAGGCATATATGATTGGAGGGGGGATGGATAGGAGTGAAATCAAAGAATAAAACAATGCATAGAACAGTCAGTTTTAGAGATCTGTAGTAAATATATTTATAGTGACAATTATCAATGGTGGTTATTTTGCCTTTAAGTAATGTTCATTGCCTGTCCTGCATTTTATTTTTCTCTGATCTCCCCCTTCTCCATTCTCATTTTTCTCTGCTGTCAAGTTGTCTCTGACTTATGGCAATCCTATGAATGAACACTATCCAAAACACACTGTCCTTCACTGCCCTGCTTGGCTCTTGTAAATTCAAGGCTACAGGCTTCCTTTATGGAGTCAGTTTGGCCTTCCTCTTCATTTGCCTTCAACTTTCTCAAACATGTTTGTCTTTTCCAATGAATCTTGCCTTCTCATGATGTACCAAAGTATGATAGTTTCAGTTTTGTCATGTTCACCTCCAGGGAAAGTTCTGGATTGATTTGGCTTGATTTGACCTAGGACCTACTTGTTCGTCTTTCTGCTGGTCCAAGGTATTCACAAAGCTCTCCACCAGCTCCATGTTTCAAACACATAATTTTTTTCCTGTCAGCCTTCATATCTGTCCAGTTTCCATATCTATACATAGTGATTGGAAATACAATACTGTAGGTCATCAGTGAAAAGCCCTAACACTTGATAATCTTTTCTAGTTCCTTCACTGTTTCCTTTCCCAGCTTCAGTCTTATAATTTATTGCCTGCAGTCCCTGTTTGAATCGATGATTGATGTAAGGTATGCAAAATCTTTCATAATTTCAATTTCTTCTTAAAGCTGTAAAGTCATTTTTGTTTTCAAGATATTCAGCTGCAGTTCAGCTTTTGCAGTTTTTTCTTAAACTTTCATCAGGAGTCGTTTCAAGTCATTGCTGCTTTCTGCCAGTAATGTGGTATCATCTATGTATCTTATTTATGTGTCTTCTGCCAATTTTCAATTCTTTCTCTGATTGTAATCCAGCTTTCCTTATGCTATGTTCTGTATAAAGATTGCACAGATAGGGAATAAAATTCACCTTTGCTTGATGCTTTTACCTATAGGAAACCATTCTATTTCTCCATATTCTGCCATAACAGTAGCTTCTTGTCCACAGTACAGAACAATCAAGTGCTGAGGTGCACACATTTATTTCAGGACCTTCCATAGCTTCTTCTGACCCACATAGTCAATGACTTTGTTGCAGAATATGAAGCATCAGCTGATTTTCTTCTGAAAATCTTTGGTGCACCCGAGAAGCCAACATATATTTGCAAATATGATCTCGAGTGCCCCTTCCTTTTCAGAATCCAACTGGAACATCAGGCTTTTCTTGCTCCATATGGGGTAAAATTCTTTGTTGCAGCACCTTGATCATAACTTTGCTTGCACAAGAAATTAGTGCAATGGTCTTGCAGTTGTTGTACTCTTTTTGCATCTCCTTTCTTGGAATATATATTGAATGTTTTCAGGCTGTTGGGCATTCTTTTGTTTTCCATATGTGTTGGTATATTCTTGTTAGGGTTTGCTACAGCTTGGAATATTACTATTGATACCCTATCTATTCCAGGTACTTTGTTCATTCAAAATGTGCTTTCTAATATTGTAGTAATTCCTCACAAGATTCCTCTTTGAAAGACTCTGTCATCCTTTCATATCTCCTGTACTGTTCTGTATATTTTTCCACCTTCTCTTTATTTTCCTCTGGTCAGACATTGTGTTCCTCTCTTTGCCTTTCAGCATTGCTAATCTAGGCTTGAATTTCCCTTTGATTTCTTGGATCTTCTGGAAAAGGTCTCTTGTTTTTACTTTTGTTGTTTTTCCCTGTTTCTTTGCACTGTCATTAGTTATTTTAGACTCTATGTGATGATTGCTAAAACATCGCACTCAGGATTCTGACCTTATTTCTGTTATCTTTTGCTTTTGCCTCTTGTCCGTCCTTAGCAATAGTGTTTCTTTTATCACCCATCTAGGGTATTTTAAATTTTTGCTACAGCAATCATCTTTTTTACATTCTTCCTTAATAATGCCTCTGGTTTCAGTCCACAGTTCTTTTGATTTGCAGTTGAGTTGAGTGATATAAATCTATTATTTCTGTAGCCTTAAATTCTTCAGGAATGTTATTGTATTTTGGTACTCTGCTTCTGTTAGTGCTCTTTTTCAGCTTTATTCTGAATCCTGATATTAAGAATATTCTGTATAGTAAGAATATACAAGTAGTCCCCAGGTTAAGAATAAGTTCCATTCCAGAGAACATCCTTAAGTCAGATTTGTATGTAAGTTGGATCATATGTGTAAGCCAAATGTTTGTTCTAGTATATGTATATATTGTACCTTTCCATGAATATAAAACACTTAGGAAACACTTCCATATTCACTAAAACATCTTAAACACAACACCACATTGTAATAATGATAATAATACAGTAATAATAAGGTAATTATCAGTGCTGGAGAGAGAGAGAAAGAGAATCTGTATGAGTGTGTAGGTATACAGTATTGAAAAACTGTCATAACTTGCCTTTTATACCTGGCTTAATCTTTGAGCTTCATTGTCTTTAATTTTAATGTAAACCCAGTAGAAAACAACATGGCTCTTTAAAAGTGACTTAACAGTCTCAATATCTTCTGAAGTTCTCTGATAATGGGTTGCTAGGGCAATATAGTCCAGTGCCTGCTTATTACATTCAAAACACTTTAATCCATGGTGAATTAATCTCAATGGGTCTGTGTACAGGGACAGAGCTGCCTGAATGCTTATTCATTAGTCAATTAAATTTCAATTTGTTGAGCTTCCAGTTCCAGTTCCTTATGGAGCACAAGACTTATGTGGAAAAGGGGCCAAATATGTTGTGTAAGATGTTGAACAGCTCATTGGAGAAGGCGAAAACATGTGCTAAGGAAATGAGTTTCCATGACTATCTCTAGGGAACTACGTGGTCACTGAGAGATACATCACCAAATAAATTATGTAGTTCATAGCCATAACTATCTCTAGGGAACTATGCGACCACTGATGATGCATCTCCAAATGTGTTGTGTAGTTTCCTAGAGACCCTCACAGCTTTTGCGAGAGATATTCATGTAGGCTTTATGGAAGTCTGTGTGTTTGCAAGTACAGGTTGTTTGTAACCCAGAAGTTTGTAACCCAGGGACTACATGTACAACTTTGATAGCTCTTCCGGTTAAATAGTATATTTGATTTCTGCATGGCCATCTGTGATGTCCATCTGTACTGTCATCTGATCAGTTGCCTAACATACCTGCTTGTGATAAACAGATTGCTGGCTTCACAGAATTCCATGAGTCATTCCCCTGCTTCGTTTCTGGCCCCTTGACCAAATCCTCCCACAACAGTTTATTCTACTTTGTTTCCTACTTTTTGCCTTCCAGTCACCTATGATTATCAGCATGTCTTGTTTTGGCATGCTATTACTTTCCTCTTCAACACTTGCATAAATGTTTTCATAGAATCACAGTAGAGTAGGAAGGGACCTATATGGTCATTGAGTCCAACCCCCCTCCCCCGCTCCGTTCAATGCAAGACTCCAAGTATAAGCATCTCTGAGAATTGTCTGTCTAACTGCCTCTTCATTGCCTCCAATGTGGGAGAGCCCACAACTTCCCTAAGCAATTGGCTCCAGCCTGTTACTGTTCTAAAAGTCAGGAAGTTTTTCTGATCTCCAGGTGGAATCTGGTTTCATGTAACTTCAACCCATAACTCCATGCACTGCATGACTGAGAAGAGATTCCCCCACCTGCCCATGTGACCACTTTTCCAGTACTGGAAGAATGCTATCATAGCTCTCTCAATCTTTTCTTCTCCAGGCTAAACATGCCCAGTTTTTTCAGTCTTTCCTCACAGGGCTTTGTTTTCAGATCCTGATCATCCTTATCACTCTCCTATGAACCCCTCCAGCTTATCTACAGCCTTCTTGAAGTGTGGTGCCCAGAACTAGGCACAGTATCAAGTTGGGGCCTAAGTAGTGCCAAATAGATGGGAAGTAGCACCTCACATTATTTGGAAGCAATTAATGCAGACCAAAATAGCATCCCCCCCCTTTTTTACAACCACATCATGTTGTGTTATTCACCTTGTGATCGACAATGCTCATAGTATTGTCCCCATTTTGCAATTGTATATTTGGTTCCTTTTTCCTAGATAGAGAATTTGGCATTTGTCCCTATTGAATTTCATTCTGTTGGTATCAGCTGAGTGCTCCAGCCCAATAAAGATCACCTTGCATCTTCTTTCTGTCTTCCATGTTATTAGCTATCCCCTCCAATTTTGTGCAATCTGCAAATTTGATCTGCACTCTCTGTATCTCCCCATCCAAGTCAATGATAAAAATGTAGAACACTGTTCACAAGACTCAGTCCTACAGCACCCCTCTCATTACCTCTCCGCAGTCTAAGAAAGTGCCATTGAGAAGCACTCTCTGAGTCCAGTGCTGTAGTCAGCTATGGATTCACCTGATATTTGTTCCATCTAGGCCATTTTTAGCTAGCTTGTTGATCAGAATGTCCTGGAGCACTTTATCAAAAGCTTTGCTGAAGTCAAAATGTGTTACGCCCACAGCATTTCCACAATCCACAAGGGAGGCTACCTAATAAAAAAATGAGAACAGATTAGTTTGGCAAGACTTGTTCTTGATAAATCCATTCTGACTTCCAGTAATTACTCCATTGTCTTCAAGGTGCTTACAGACTGCCCGACTTACTATCTGTTCCAGAATTTTCCCAGAGATTGATGTTAGACTAAGTGGTATGCTAATTCCAGGAATCTTCCTTTTGACCTTTCTGAAGATAGAGACATTAGTTCTCCTCCATTCATCTGGCACATCTTCCATCTTCTGCTGACACTTCCAGACCTTGCTGGCTCCCAGGGTCTGCCCGAAGAGCTGGAGACAGCAGTCTTGAGATAAGGCCTCCCTCCTCTGCCATCTCTACGTCTGTAGGTCTCTCTTCTCAGGCTTCACCATCCATGCCAAGAACAACTGCCCCTTTCTTTCTCAACACTATGTCACACACACACACACACACACACACGCACGCCTGCCTATGTAGGATAACATCATGCAATGATGAGGCAGACTATAATTAATTTGTTTGTATTTAGGATACTGCAAGAGTTTTTGTTGTATTTGCTACAAGAAACTGAAATGGCTACCACTCTGAAAACTAAAAATTTTTTACTAAGGGGAAGGTAAGAACTGTGCTTTCTATAGTACTCTCACTCTGATGCTAAAATGTTAAGCTGAATTAACTAGCTTTGTTTTTTCCTCCTCCTCCTCACAGACGCGTGGAGGAACCTCTCGGGATGGCTGGATAGTGGACTATTTCCATATCTATGGGCCAGGACAAAGATACTTGAACAGGAGAAACTGGGCAGGAGCTGGTATGCATAATGCTCTAGTGAGCCTTTTTTTTTATGTTTAGGTCATTTTTTCCCTTGGAACAATTGCCCCACAATCCCTTAGAGCAGTGGCAGGCATCCTTGGAGGGTCTGAGGCTCAGTTCCTAGTGAGGGGACATGGATGAGCAGGCCGGTTTACACCTCCCTAGCTGGCTGCAATTGTGCTGTTTACACAAAGGTAGACATAACCCCCCCCTCCCAAATGCTTAAATTAGGTATGTGTGAAGAATCTGATTTTCACATCCCCCCCACCTCAATTCTGCTTTGTTGGCCCTACTCTGCCATCAACTTGCCATGGTGCAAGTCAAGCCAATGCATAGACTTCCATTTCTAAGATTGACCTCAATTTGCAGATATTTTAAAAATAGTAATGAAGTTTGTACAGATAAGCACCCTGGAACCACATGACTCTAGCTCAATTTGTGCTCTATCACCTTTGTGCAGAATTGCAATTTGTACAAGTTGACTGATTTTGCCCAAGTCATGCTCGGGTCCCATGGTTTGGGGGTGATTATTTGTACAAATGTCATTACCATGTGTGTGTGCACAAATCACTGCTCATCTTAGAGATTAAAGTCTGTGCAAAAGAACCCAGCTCATCCTGCTCCTGATCATCCATTTGGAAGCAGGTAGAAATTCCATCAAACTCAAACAAGCCAATTGTCCTGTTTCAGTACATTGCTAGCTAAGATCAGTGACACATTGCCTGTGTGATTTAGCCCTCAGGAGCAAAGTTATGGCTGTGTGGCTAAGGAAGGCGTGAGGGAAACATGAGCAGACAAAGGCCTCCTCCAGTTTAGGCTGCCCCTCCACTCCACCCTGCCTGTGGGGAAAGGAGGCAGGAAGAACACAGGAGCGGACAAAGGAAATATTTTCATTGAAATGCAGTTGGGGTATTGTGTTGTTTACCCCTCTTAAGCCAAAAAGGCTCCCAGAATGGCTGACCTATCAGTGCTTTTTTTGTAAAAAAAAAAAAAAAAAGTGCCAGAACTCACGTCACTGGCATTAAGTGTGCGACCACACACACAGCGGAGCATCCCAAGCCGAGAGAGCAGCTCACTATCAGACAGCAGACGCAACAGCAGCCCGCAGGCACTATGTTAATGATGTTTGCTGCTGAGCTGCTATGATTCAGAATCACTTCGTAAAATCCATTGGAAAAAAAGGTGCCGGAATGCCGTTCTGGTGCATTCCATGACAAAAAAAGCCCTGCCTGTCATCAATTACATAAAACAGCTGTTGCCCTCAGACCTAGTCTGTAAAGCTGTGATATGTGAGAAAAAAGCAACTTGTCTCCCTTGGTGCCCTCTCCTGGAAGCGCCACTGGTGATGACAGCTGAGCGAGGTGGAGGCTTCGTGACCAAGGCCATCTGCAGGCTGGCTGAAGGGTCTCACTCTCTTCCTCACCTCGCCCCACAGCCTGCTGGAGTGATGGCTGACAAGGACAGCTGAGGAGGGAGCCCTGGATGGGGGGCCTTTCCGCAAGGCCTGCTCCAGCTCGACCATCCACCCTTCCACAGGGCCAAAGGACATCAGCTGCCCTGTTGGAGAGAAGGAGTGAGGGCAACTGAAGCAGCAAAAGGGAATATCCTTCCCGGGAGATGAGGGAGGGAACAGGGCTATCCCACCTGCCCCAGTAGTTTCCTCTTGTCTCCCCATCCCCTTTTCCTGGTGTGGTGTGTCTGTCCAGACTTTAAGCAAGGACTGACTTTTTTGCTGATTGATGGTCAGCTTCTCAAGGAGGTTTTTGTGCTGAGAAGCAGGATAAATATAAATAACTAAAAAAATAAAGCCTGGCTTACTAATAAACAGGGACTGCAGGTGGCGCAGTGGTTTAAACCGCTGTGCTGCTGTGCTGGTTGATCGAAAGGTTGCCAGTTTGAATCTGCACAACAGGGTGAGTTCCCGTTGCTCTGTCCCAGCTCCTGCCAACCTTGCAGTTCGAAAGCATGCAAATGCAAGTAGATAAAAAGGTACCACTTTGGTGGGAAGGTAAACAGCGTTCTGTGCACTTAGGTGTTTAGTCATGCCAGCCTCATGACCACGGAGACTGACTGCAGACAAACACTGGCTCCCTCGGCTAGGAAATGGAGATGAGCACCGCCCCCTGGAGTCAGGCATGACTGGACGTAATGTCAAGGGGAAACCTTTACCTTTACTAATAAACAAGTAGGAGGTAAATAAGAGGCTTGGGTCAACTTCAAGTTTTGTTGAAGTAGAAGAAATCTTTGGCAGAAAAAACCTTCCTTCCCCCCAAAACCAGCCTCACAAAGGCTGAGCATGCTCAGTAGCCACACGTTGCTTGAGGGTGGAAGAAAAATGGGTTAAGAGGACAGAATGGAATATCCTAAAAGAAGTAATCTGGATGGCTGGTGTGTATCAGGAAAACAGGTAGTGTGCTATGAGAAATAAAGAAATCATCTTTGAGCCCCAGGCATCCAACCACAGAGGAGACAACTCACTCCATATTCATAGAAGTCAATGCTCTTGTCTTTTAATGTTTTCTTTACAGTGCTGAGTTGCAAAGATTTGTTCAGTGCCCTAAATTGATTTGTTTCTAATTAGTATGTTTGCTACATGGAATATGTAGTATGATATATGGCAGTTGTCTCACTTTAGATCAGCCTTCCTCAATCTGGTGCCCTCCATATTGTGTCAGGACTACAACTTCCATCATGCTCAGTCATCATGGTCAGATTTAGTGCAACACACCTGAAGGTTGTGAGGTTGGGGATGACTGCTCTAGATGCTGCCCAATTTCAGATGAAACAGGAAAAGCATGTGCAGTAGACCGTCTGCTTGCTTTTACTTGGTTGGCACGTTCTATAAAATTTCTTTAAGCTACGACCTCTGCTTAGAGGTGTCCAGTAAGCAATTTATCTGCTCCAAACACAATTACTACAATTTTTTTCTCTTTCCAGTTCTAGGAAACAAGAGATTCCTGACATGACTTTTGTGCATTTCTGACTTTTTATGTAATCTGGATAGTAACCAGAATTTCTTTCTGTACAGGCCATTCGCCACAGCAAGTGGCTGGTCATCATGTGTACTTGATGGATGCAAAGCCTGTACAAGGGTACAATGGTCGATATGGTTATCGTCGTAACACACCTGATCTCCGTACACACTCTTCTTGCTTCAGTGAAGTCACATGGCTTCCTCTCCACTGAAGAATAACAAATTATACCCTCCCTGCTTTTCTCTTACTAGAATCCTTTTGGATCCATTGTTATTGTTCTTCTTGTTGTTGTTCTTGTTGTTGTTGATTTTCCAAAGTAATAAAACACTGTTAATTTTCTTATATAAACAGGTTGTTGCTGATGAGGAGAAGATTAATAGGGTTATGGTGACAAGGCAGACCAGTTGCTTGTTGAGCCAACATCTAAGCATATCCACCCACACCTCTCCCCACCCTGCCCTTACTGTAGATCTGCTCATGTAGATCTCCTTGTTCCTGATACCTGTACACCTACAGGATCCTCTGCCAAAAGAGGCACGCTGGAGCATTCTGGAGGGAGGGCTGAGGGTGGTGGGGAGAAGATAAAGAAAAGAGAACACCCCAGTTAGTCCCTGGTAGCCCCTTCTGGCCCCTGGAGACACATCTAACTTCACTGCATCCATCTCCACTTCTGCGACAGTCTGCAGATTCTGGTGTGGCGCTGGACAAGGGGAGGCCTATGCACTATTGTGCTAAGTATGTGCCAGAGAAAGGCTCTAGTAAGGTTCCGTTCTGGTGCATTCCCACGTTGTGGCCAAACTGACTTTCTGATTGGTCAGTGCTGCTGGTTATAAGCTCAGTGAACCTCCTTGTCTATCCCTCTGCTGACTGTCAAAATACTTTCTCCTTCTCACTCCCCAGAGATGAGTCACTGGCCATAGCATGTCCCAGCCCCCACTTCCCCACCCCAGTCAGTGAAGACAATCTGAAAATAAATTGAATTAGATCAGGGTGGAAGGAATCCTTCTCTGCTTACCCTTAGTAACCACAGCACGTGTGTGAGACAAACAGCATTAGGGACAGAATGGGTTCTGAAAGAAAAGACTCATGGGTGAGATTGCTAAGGGATGGCCCTAGCAGGGCTCCCGTTTCTCTAGCCATTTAGTACATAAGAAATGTCCTGCTGGATCAGACCAAACATCAGCAGGGTTGCAAGTCTGGGCCTGTGGGTAGGCAGCTAGGATATGGCATCCACATATGCTATGTTTCCTATTGCATGTGCTCCTGCAGGTGTGCAGGGCAAGGTCTCATTGTTCCATTACCCACAGTGAGGTTTGAATTCACCTTTCCAGTTTCCCAACCCCGTGCTCTCTACAGTGGGCTACAAGGATTGCTTTTGTGGGAAAGCTGCTCTGTCTTCTTTTGTTGCCTGGGCCTGTTGGGGCCTTGTACTAGGGCAAGCTATGTGTTCTCTCTTCTCAGTGGAGCTTTCTTCACACTGCATTATGTGACGTGAAACCAGTCCCGCATTCTCTTTGTGTGGTTATGTTAGGCTAGTCACGAAGTCATGTCAACCCCATGGACTCTTTATGTGATACTTTAAATACAAATGATAATGATTAATGTATACAATATAAGGCTTGTGCTGTGATGGCTGAGTGCTGTTTCTGAGCTTTTGCTGCCTGCACTGGAGGGCACTGCAATGTTTCCATGGCTGGTAAAGTGGTTTTCGTGAGTAGCGGAGGGATGGGCAGAAAGGGGTTTGTAGCAAGGCGAGATTGGTGCCAAGCATGCTTGCCTGTCATGGTGGTGGTCAGCAGCATTCTACCCTGTGAGTGGCAAGAGAGAGGACTGCTACAGATGCTGGGGTCTTGCTCTGTACTTTTTGGAGTCCTGTTTCTCCCACCAATCAGACTGTGCTGAGATTCTAAAGTGTACCAACGAAGCCTAGATTGGCCAAAATGACTTGCTGGCTGGCAAGACCATAATTAATTAGCTGTTACAACTAAAGTTTGCCTCCATGTTTGAAACCAGCATCTCGACGAATGATCAGTAAGGGGTACAACAACGGCGAGGCCTACTGCCCTCATGCCGTCCACGGACTTCCCAAAGGCATGTTGCCATCAAACCACAGGACTAGGCAAGGGGCTCTTTGCACCAACCCAGCCGGCCAGCACTGCCTTCTTGTGCTGCCTTTGGTCGACTGGTGGCGATGGGAGTTGCAGTCCGACACCCTCGGGTAGCGGGGAGGCTGTTACAGGACTTGACTTGAGGCAGAGGCGGGGGGGGGGGGCTCAAAGCGTGACTACTTTTATGCGCGCGCCTACACGTGCGTTCACTCGCAAGCCGCTGCGCGCGCCGCAGCCGAGGCTGCCGCCCCTCCGAGCTCGCCGGGCGGGGACGCGGCCACTTCCGCTTCTGCTCCGCCCGCGCCACTCCTGGGGGCGGGGCCGAAGGGTTGCGCCGTCACTGCGCGCCGGCCGGAGCGCGACCGCCGGAGAGGAAGGGGCCGGCGGCGCAGTCGGGCCTCGGCGGTCAACATGGGTGGCGGCGACCTGGTGAGGACGGGGGGCAGGCGCGGGCGGAGTCACGGCGCCGTGGCCGAGGGACAGGGACTGCGGAGAGCTCTTCTTTCCCTGGAGCAGCGCTGCCGGTCGTGGGTTGCTTCCCCACTCCCTTGCCGAGCACTTACAGCATTCCCGGGGAGCTGCAGTAATGCGGGGCGCTTCACGCCAGGGGAATTGTAAGGGCCTCGCTGGGATGCGACCAGCTGAAATACGCTTTCACCCGTTGAAGTGGGAGTTGTAGAGGGACAGGGTCTTTTGCGCATAAGTAATTGTGAGGCCCAAAAGCAGGTTCTTAATGTGGCTGTAGGCAACTGGTGGGTGGCGTTTTCTGGGAGTGGGGTGAAGATTGGACAGCCCCACTGCAAAATCTTTAATGTTATGCTGTAGCTTCTAAATGGGGTATAAATCAAGGAGACTAGGCATAGCGGGTGGGGGGACTAGGTCCCTGCCACTTGAAAGGATGAATATACTAGGCGGTGGTTGCAGGGACAATATCATTATAAAAGCAGAATTATATTATAAAGCCCCTGAATGTATATTCAGTTGTGTTACAAGACTTTCTTTTTCTTGGTGAGGTTTGCTTTCTGGCACTGCATTTGTAGACAATCCCTATTGTCTGTCTTTCATTAATTCAAGATACTTATATTTGCCTGCAGAACCTGAAGAAGAGCTGGCATCCACAGACGCTGCGTAATGTGGAAAAAGTTTGGAAGGCTGAACAGAAACATGAAGCTGAACGGAAGAAAATTGAAGAGCTGCAGCGAGAGTTGCATGAAGAGCGAGCACGAGAGGAAATGCAGCGATATGCAGAGGATGTGGGCGCTGTCAAGTACGTTGAACATCATTGGTTGGCATCTTTATTTACTGCTCACTGGGATGCTGATGGTCCTCCTCTTTCATCATGAGAATTTCTGCTATCCTCATGGGGCTTGTAGGTACTGGATGCCAAACATCCACAAAATCCTGTCTAGAAGTTCCCTTAGCACAAATTCCCATTTCAGTGTAAGGCCTGGAATATAAAATGTATCAAAGATGGTGCTGCTAAGCATGTGTAGAGTACATGCATTTTCCTTCCCACTGAGTAACACAAACAGACACAACTCGTGTGGTTTTAGGAATGGGATAGGATGCAACTTCAACAAAGCTTCACTCTTTAGCTTCTGATTTTAGAGATTAAACACAAGCTTTATTATTAGCCATTTATGAAGCCCTTTTAATTTCAGTAGTTTATAGTTTTGTTAGCATTTGATCTCATTGCAGCCCCATTTGGTGTGATGTTGTTTTCAGACACCAAAAAACATGCACAAATAGAATTTATTCCAAATGCATTTGGAGGATATACTTTATCAAGGAAAACTTAATGGTGAAAAGTTTGCCCAAATGGTTATATTAAGAACAATTCAATGTCTCTTCATAGTTTCCTCAAAACATGTTGGGGACTAGTTTTATTTATGTTGGTGGTTTGCCCCTGGCTTTCTCTATAATTGTTTTTGATCATCTACATTGTGTTGTGATTTTCTTTTATTTCCTGTACTGACTACTCAAGCCTATACCATGAATCTATGGCAGAAAGCATGTTTGAATGGAAATCTAACAACTGACTTAACATTTTCAGAAAAATCATATGGTGCAGTCTTTCCATATGGTAATCCACACTTTGGGAGTACCATTCAATCTCCTCATTGTATTAATCCTGTTATTTGAAGCATTCTATTATTATTATTATTATTATTATTATTATTATTATTATTATAACATTTCTATGCCGCCCCTTGCCGAAACCTCGGGGCGGCTTACAACATGATAAAATACATTGAAATACAATAGTACATAATAAATTACCATTAAATATAAAAATACAAAAAATACATTGATTTACAAATACAAAATTAAAATTATCAGTATAAAATAAAAATATAGGATGAGAAAGAGAAGGAAGAAGTTGCCCAGGCCAGATCATATGTCTTAACAATTGAAATGATGTTTAAATAAAAAGGTCTTTACCTGGCGCCGAAAAACCAGTAACGATGGTGCCAGGCAGACCTCTTTGGGGAGTGAATTCCATAGGCTGGGCACCACCGCAGAGAAAGCCCTCCTCCGGGTACTTACTCTCCTAATTTCTTTCATGGAGGGTTCCCGGAGAAGGGACTCTCCCGCAGATCTCAAAGGGCGGTCAGGCATATACGGACGTAAGCGCTCGTTCAGGTAGCCAGGACCCAAGCCATTTAGGGCTTTGTAGGTCATAATCAACACCTTGAATTGGGCCCGGGCTTCAATGGGAAGCCAGTGAAGCTGACAGAGGACTGGAGTCATGTGAGCATAACGCCCCATCCCCGTCAGCAACCTGGCAGCTCTATTTTGCACCAATTGAAGTGTTCGGACTGTCTAAGTCCAGTATTGGCTTCTTCCAGAAACACGTGGTGCTGGCATGCCAGTTTTGCATGCAGTTGGATGAACACTAGTAGAAGAGATCAAATATAAATCTTTGGGTCTGGATTGCCTTGAAGAACAGTTACTCTGTCTTCACAAAACTACAGTTTCTTTGGGGAAAGTTTAGGGTCGAACTTACATCTACTTATGTTCTTTTGCATTCATTTTCTTGTTGTTTCTGACTTGTTCCATTTTTAAGTACAAGGAAGGAATAATGTTTTTTAAACATGTAAATCTGTACAACTGGCAAAACACCATGTTCAGTTAAAGACATATGTTAAGCTGTTTAAAATGTCTCTAAATCATCTTCACCCAGTCAGTTACTTATGAAGAGACTCAATTATTTTCTTGATTCTGTTCACGATAGCAGTTTTAAAACCCTCTCTCAAAAGAGTCCTTACCCTTGGTTTTAAATTAATTTGTGTTTTTTCCACAGTTTACACCTATGTTGTCTCCTGGCTTGGTTTGAAATATTTATTTCATGTTCTTTCCCCCTAAATTAATAGAAAAAAAGATGAAAAACTGGAATGGATGTACCAAGGACCTGGAGGCATGATGAACAGAGATGAATATCTTATGGGCCGTCCAGTTGACAAGTATGTCTTTCAAACAGTGGAAGACAAGGAAGCACACTCTTCTGAGACTGGCCTTCTGCCTGGCTCTATCTTTGCCTTCACGGGTGCCAATTCTTCCTTGGAAATGGCCAGCAAAATTCGAGAAGATCCACTTTTTATGATAAGGTAACAATAATGAATAACTCGATATGGGAGCCCATTGATGCTCAAGATGCTTTATATAGTACAAGGAAGTTGAGGGCTCTTTTAGTTTGAACATGCAGAAAAAATAGCATTTTTCATGGGTATGTGTCATCACTGCTCTATCCTATGATGTGGTGTTGTATCTAAAATTTAGGCAAACTTGCCAATCTTGCAGTTAGAGTTCACTGCCAAGTTAGGCTAAATACCTCAGACTTTTCTTTTGGTCTATATTGTGCTTGGTAATTTCAGGTGAACATGATTTAAACCTCCTTTTTTCTTTGTTTAGGAAGAGGGAAGAAGAGAAGAAGCGTGAAGTTCTGAACAATCCTGTAAAAATGAAGAAGATCAAAGAACTGGTGTGTTAATGTTGAATGCATTGACAAAGGATAAGATAACAGCATGAAATAATAATAATAGATGGGGATTTATTTCCTCATTAAAAGGTGACAATACAACAATGATATCTTTTTAGCTGCTGTTCTTGGAACCAGAATGGATAAGGATCAGTAAAGTGGAGGTGATTTTTCTACACCAGTGCAATGCATAAATTATGGTTGAAGTAGGCATTCTAGTCAGCACTGGTGGTCATTCCAATTATAAACTAAGGCAGAATGCAACTGAGAAACACCGTAAAAAGAGGCTTTTTCATTATAGTTTTTGATAATGATCTATAGTTACAGATGAGCATTGAGGCAGTTACACTTGCTGGTTGCACAGGTTGTATATGGTGGTTAAAATTTAAAAAAAAGCTCCAAAACTACTTCTCCAAATTGAGTAAATGGGCACTTATAATTGCAAATGCAGTACATAAGAACATAAGGGCTACGCTGATCAAACCAGCACTCTGTTCACACAGTGGCAAAGCAGCTGCCTACAGGATGCAACAAACGGGATACAAATACAACAGTACCTTCCATGTTTCCCAGGCATTCTGCCTCTGATACACTCTGTTCAGTTAAGCAAGTGTAAAATGTTGCATGTTGGAGTGAAGAATTCTAACTTCACTATGCTGATGGGATATGAGCTTATGGTGACTGATTTTGGGGCTGTGGTGAAGTAATGAACGTTTTTAACCCAGTGTGTGGTTGCTGTAAAAAAAAGGGCAAATTCAGCATTGAGAAACATTAGAAAAGGAAAAGGCAACAGATCAGTTGTGCAGTTGCACTTGGAAGAGCTTGTACAGTTCTGTTTCCTACATCTCCAAATGTAGGAGCTAGTAAAAGACAACCAGAATGATTACAGAGCTGGAGCAACTGTCTTACGAGTTTCGGACTTTTTATCCTAGAGAAAAAAGTGAGCAAGTGGATTGGGGAGACATAATAGACATGAATAAAATTATGCATAGTATGAAGAAATTCCCTTCCTCTCATAATACTAGAACTTAGGAATTGTCTAATGAAGCTAAACAGGTGGGATATTCAAGAGGGAAGGAAGACAGTGTATTTTGTAGCATTCTCTACTACGAGGTATAGGGATGGCTGTTCACTCAATGGCTTTAAAAGGAGATTAGACCAATACTGTGCAGCTGTTGCCCTCAAGTCCTGTTCTGGTCTTCCCATAGACCTGTGGGAACAGAATGCTGGACTGATCTAGCACCGCTTTTAGTATGTTGGGTTGGAATTGAAGTATAAATCATCTTAAACCAGGGATGGGAAGTCTCTCTCACTTTTGCAGAAGCTCTCAGGGACCACATTCAAGTGGTGGCTGGGGCCAAGAAAAAAGTGGGAGCACTGAAAATGAAAAACACTGCCATATTTTAGTTTAAAGTTCTTATTGATAGTAAGCTGTAGGAGAAGCATTTCAGCCATAAGCCATCACCTCTTAGGGAAGGGAGCCAGGGCCATTTGGGGAACTTGAGGGCTGGATATGATCCATGGGCCTGAAGTTCCTCACCCCAGTTCCAAGCCTAAGTGATGGTTGAGCTGATATCTCTTTTCAAATGTTCTAGTTGCAAAGCAGTTTGGAGGAGAAAAAGAAGAAGAAGAAAAAGAAAAAGGAGAAAAAGAAAAAGCACAAAAAACACAGGCATCACAGTTCTAGCAGCAGTGAAAATGAACAGATTAAAGCCAGGTATGTTCATACACAGCATGTTATAACATTATGCAAAATTAATTTGGACTCTTAATTTGCTGAATGCTTAAAAGCACAATCCTATGCCTGTTTAGACAGCTATGTTGGTTGGTACATGCTGGGTAGGTCATGTTATAGGACTTGTTTTGATGTAAGCATGCATTGTGTTGCACCCCAACAAAGCTGATCATGTTGGGCCTATTTGTAAAGATTAATAAAGGGTCCTGGGAGAGAATTCTCCCAACTGCAGAGGATGGTCATGAACCCAGACTCAAGCCAAACTCTCTCCATCAGGTAATAGTGGTTCTCTGATATTTAGTAGCTGTTACAAACTAGACTGTCACTTTAAGACAGGCAGACAGACTACAAGTTCCATTGGCATCTAGATTCCTCAGTGGAACAACATGTGTACATCATTGCCTTGCCTCACACCCCTAGATATGTAATGATCTGTACCTCCTGTCTCCAGGCTGAGAATTACTTGGCCTGCTTGTATTCCTTGCCTATCAGTTATCATGGAAGATTTGATGAGGCTTGGTTCGGTATCTGCCAAATCTATGCTGGTTTCAGATGGGGTGACTTGCATAATGATAGGAGAACCTGGACCCATCTGGAGAAGCACAGTAGCTTTCAGACTAACACAGTGAATTGGATTTAATTTATTTCTGCTTTAGGTCACAGGAGAAAACAAGCAGTTCTGTGGAAACTCTTCATTCCAAAATGCCAGGATATGGCTTGCAGGTATGTTTAGCTGTCTGTATGTTACCCATGAGTACCATTTACAGCAAGAATGGGCAACATGTGGAATGCATAACCCTACCTCTGATGTCTCCTGCCCCATTAACAAAATTCACAGCAGCAAATCTTCACCAATTTTCTTTTGAAATCAGCAACAAACACTGTAGAATCTTATTCCAGACAAATTTAGTTTGCTTCCAAGCTAACTTTGACCAGTGTGGTATTACATTGAATTTGGTTCCAAAACTTGCCAGAAAATCTCTGAATTTTTTGTTGCTGCTGCCAGTACCTCAAAGGAGTCTGCAGGGAAGTACTGGCAGCAGCAGGAGTCCAGTCTGTGGGGAATACTTCCTGTACTTCCTGCAGTTGCCAACCCCTGAGTCATACTGAGTGAAAATGGATCAACCCCTTACTTTCATGCTTGCCACTGACTACAGAAATCTGTACTATCAACCACAGGAGAAGAATTGCTTGTTTTAATTAAAATATTGTTATATGTTTGCTTTCTGAGATAGTGCCATGGTTACCAGGCTCCAATACTTAAAGCAGTAGCATTTCTTTCTAATTTTAGGTTCGAGAAACCTTTCCCCACAAACTCCAACAGAGTTCGAGATCGAAGAGTCAGTACCTGTCACCAGAGAGGCACTCTGGCAAGAAGAGTACATATCAGGTGGAGTTCAGTCACAGGAGGTCAAGGTCACCCAGACATGATAAACAGTAAGCAGGAATAGGGCTGCTGCTTCACTTTTATTGGGTACCTGATGTGACTGCTATAGAATCCAGATATTTTGCTCCCAGTGTGGTATCATTTGCATGTGGCGGATTGTTATTTGGCAGAAGACCATCTGGCCCTTGAAATATATTGAATTTTATTATACAAGATGGGTAGGGTGCAGGAGAGTGCAATAGATCTAATGTGCATGGGGACCAAATGATTATTTTCATGGGGAAAATAAAATTCTACCTGAATTATAGGTACAATAGCAAGGAACAGAAGGCAAAAGCAGGAGTCAGGAGTCCTTCTCCTAAGAAAGAAGGCTATAGAAGACAGCTTACTTCAAGGTATGTAGAGTGGGTACACCACCAGTGGGTACTAGGTGGGATGTTTAAAACATTGGATGACCCACTTCATTTCAGTGTTTAATTGCAGGCATCATTCAGACTTCTTTTTCCAGATGCTGAAGATGCTAGGGTTTTTTGTTCTATATGGCCAACGTTTTATCTTCAACTCCATTGTCCACACTTACACAAGTTGCCACTCAAGGCTTCTAAAACAGTTTTCCCCACTCATCATCCAGGTTATTGCCAAATCACATTTCTAGTTTTCATAGTTCAATATACCTTACTGACCTTGGTTAAAAATCAGAGGATTTGGATAGATGGGATCTCTACATCTCCACAGACACACTAACGATAAGGTTTCAGTTCTTGCACTGGCATTCTTTCTGTTTTCAACAGTGTGCCTGTTTGATTTAGAAAATTGTAAATGGCATGTGGTCAGCGACACTTTTTACTTTTCACATGATATAGGAAAGAGCTACAGATTGGTGCCAGGTATATTCTGGCTCAATTTAAAACCAAGTTCTTCCCATTATTAATATTTGATTGACATGTGTTCCATCACTATCTTTGTGTAGATATTTTTTAACTATAAATAGGGTGGATACCCCATTTCTGTTGACAGGAGGTGAGCGAAAGGGATACATTCACCAATTAATTGGTGATTGAAGTAGGATTTGATTTGAATCTGGTATAGCTTTGATTATGGTTATTACGGCTCTAATTTTGAAATTTTGGGTGACTTAAAACTATTAATTTGCTTTAAGAAGAAAACTCTCTGCAGAAGAGCTGGAGAGAAAACGTCAAGAAATGATGGATAATGCTAAGTGGCGGGAAGCTGAAAGGATGAATAATGTGAACAGACATAGAAGAGAAGAGGAACGAGAGCGAGCCCAAGAGAAACTCAGTCATTGTGATGGGAAGTTCATACAGTGAGTATCCTGTTCTTTCCATCCTCTAAAACTAGGGAGGACCCAAAATAATTAAAAGAGCATCTGCTTTGCATATAGAAGATGCCCGGTTCAGCACCCGGCTTCTCCTGTTAAAGGAGCAAGAAATGTGAATGACGTCTGGTTGAGACTGGAATTCTCTGGCTTACCTACAATAAAGCAATTCCTAGAAAATCTCAGTGACAAAACTAACAATAGTGGGGTTTGGTGCCTACTGTTACTCAGATTGACCAGACTATCACCCTCCTTTTCTAACTTATAGAAAATATTAGGGTTTGAGAAAGGAATTTCTTAAACTTGGCTACTTCTCTCTTCTTCATTTTAATACTTATTGGCCTTATTGAAATGGCAGTGGAGCAGCAAATATGGTTATTCTATATTTGAATGATTCAGAGAACAATTAGCAAAAGAAATTTTCTTTGCGTTCCTAAGAGGGAACTCAAAAAATGGCAAGAATGTACTTGATAAACAGAAAAGGGGAGAGCTGTTCCAGACATTAGGACTGGGATGGGAAAAAGCAGAGAAACAAATACCTGGTGAAAAGAGGGGATAGGAAAGAGGGTGATAACAGGGTTACCTCCTTCTTGTACGAAGGTCTTTCCTTGTTCTTTCCTTTCCTTCCCTACATTTTAATGGGGCTAGAATCTTAGCAGATAGCCACCTCAGAATCATCCGCTCCACTCCATTTATCTCTGCTTCCTCTATACCGCCTTTTTTCTAGTGAAAGACACAAATGCCATGAAGAGCAAACAGTATCTGCCCAATTTTCTCACATTTCTTTCTTCTCCTGTAGCCACATCAAACTGGAAAGTGCATCCACCTCCTCCCTTGAAGACAGAGTCAAGAGGAATATTCACTCTATCCAAAGGACTGCAGCAGCCCTGGAAAAAAACTTTATGCAAAGATGAGATTATTAAGTCTTCCTTCATTGGACTACTGAGGACTTGCAGATCTGGGATGCTTTTTCTCTTTTAGAGTAGGTTGGGATGTGGGCAATGGGAGAATGGCTGTACAGCAAAACATTCCTGAAACCTTCACAGCCCGGACCATCTTTTCTCTCTCTGTGAGAGGCCTGTCTCTGAACATCATGAGGGAATTCACTGTGATTTATTGCTACAAACAGTGCATGTACATGTGTGGGTATGTTTAAAGAATTAGGATATTTTCAGGCCATTTGACAATAAGCACTGATGTTTATTTGATGCTGTAAGATGTAGGCAAGGGGCATCAGATAGTGGAAAAGCACTTAAGTTCCCATCCAGAGTTGGCATTACAGGTAAGCAGAAGTAGGGTGACAGAAGAGACTGATTTACTTCTCATGGCATTTTGATGTAAGGAGCACAGCCATCAAAAAGCACTGGCTTTTCATTGGCTGTTACAGTTTTTGCTCCCTTTCAGGTTGTTAAAAACTTGGACTTTGTTTAAATTCAAACTATAGTGATGCTGGGGCTTACAATTCTATTTTGTTGAGTTGTTTCTCCACTGACACAAAGAACGTGCTCAACTCTTTAGCCCAGTTGTATCTTGGAACTTCTAAGGACTTTGTGCTGCACAGCTAATACTATAAGGCAGGTGCAGGCAACTTGTGACCCTCTGAATATTTTGTTCCACAGTTCCAATCAGTCCTAGTTAGCTTAATCAATGATGAAAGATCATGGGAGTTGTAGGCCAAAAGATCTGGAGAGCCACATTTTACCCATCCCTGCAATAGGGACTGAGTTTGTTTCCTAAAAAGCAAGTTTTTTACAAATATTTTAATTGGAAACGTGCACACTTTTATACATGTACATGAAACCACTTCTTAAAGGCATAAAAGCATACCTGGCTAAATGTCTGCATTAATACCTTTAATACAGCAATCTTCTGTGCATTATTCTTTGGTGACATGTAAAATGTTGAATTTTGTATATTTGGCTGGCATTTAATTTTTTAAGAAGCTGCTTAACATTTCCCCCTTTAACTAGCTGTTTGTACTGTAGGCCATCAAAATATTGTGCAATTTCTATAAAACTGAAGAGAAATGTGCAGCAGTTGCAAAAATACGTAAACCCATTTGGTAATAGCAAACCACCCTCCTTACAAAGACAACCACCATCCCAATTCTAGTGCTCTCTGACAGCTCTGGATAAGGTACAAAGAAGTATTCAAGAGAAGTGGGGGAGGTATATGTTCCCCTCAGACACCTCAGGAAATGTTGGAAGAGAGGGAGAGCAACAGATATGGCAGTTTAGACTATTTGCCCTATTCTAAACTCCCATCAGAACTGGGACTTTGGAAGTACAATGTTTTTGTAAAATATCTCTTAACAGTGTTGCTCCAGCAAATACTAAATATTAGGAAATGGTTACTAAATATCTCTTAACATCTGTTTGTTTTTGTTCATTGTACAAATGTTTCCATTTAAATTGGGGGAAAATATGCAGAGGCTGCTTTGTTTTTTCATGTAACTAGATATTTAATAGTAAAAGAGTTCTCTTTGAAATAATGACAGTATTACTGTTTTCTCCATAGAAGTGAAGATCTAATATTTCACATGTCCACTTTATATATGCTCGGAATCCCTCCTTTTCCTCAACCTGATACCTATGTAACCTGAAATATCTGCCTCTGACTTTCAGGGTTTCCTTTATATTTCCCTTAAGCAAGACACTTGAGAATCGGGTTCTTATTTCCTCACCACCTGGTTTCAAACTACTATATGGTCTTTCATACCTGCATACTACTACACAGATGTTCCCTGGCCTTTGACCCTTATGTAGTTTTGCCCAATCCAAACTGTTTCTCAATTTGTGCAATGTGAAATAATATATACAAGTTTAAGGCATTGTTATGTAGACAAAATCCTAACAAAATATAACTTGTGGTTAGATTCTGTATTTGCAGTTCATCATTATAATTCTTAGTAATGCTATTGATCCCCCTCATATTTAAAATGTACACAACATCATAGAGCTAGATTTTTTTAATGGTTCTACATCCTAATCAGTACATAATGTTCAGGACTGGTACATAAACAGTACATTTCTGCTGCTTGCAATGTCCGAAATGTTACGTTGGCAGCATATTTAAAAAGTAAAAATCCTTGTGTATAATTGCACTGTATATGTATATTGAGGGTTAGGGCTTATTACTGCCACCTGCAGGTAGTCATCCCTTCCCCACAAGTCTCATTGTATGGTAGGGTTTTTCTAGCCGTATTAATTTCTAAAATAAGAAATGAGAAACACAAAATGTCGAGCAGTTTTTGTTGGGAAGCGCTTCCCTCTAAAAGAGGAAATTGCGGGAAATTAGCAAACAAACTACTGAGTCGTGGATAAAAATGCTTTGTACAAGTTCAGTGCGCTTGTAAAAATAATACCCTTACCCTGGCTCAAAGGTTTACTCTAGCCAGGGATGGCGCTATCTAAAATAGAAAGCTTACGTTACATCTTTAATCCCCCATTCATAATTCCAGATGCCCAGCAGCTGATTGGTTACTGCTGCTTTACAACGGAGAGGGGTCGATTTATCTGTGGCGTCACTTCCCTTTACAGAATGTACCATTACTAAAAGGAAAGCAGGGAATAATTGCTGGCTCCCATGCTTGTATCGGTTAACCTAGCCCAAGCCAATTTCTTCCCCCGCAAGGGAAATATTCACATCTTTCCCACGAACGATTTTCGCAAATGCCTTCTCTCAAGCAGGAATGGTACATCCTGTTCGGCCCCTCCCTCCGATTGCCGCCATCTTGACGTCTCCTTTGCGCAGGAGCTGAGCGAGGAGCTCGTTCCGCGGTGGAGCAAACCACCGAGAAGGAAGCGTGGGGGTAGGCGGAGCGAGGCGACGTTTCGGCAGCATACGAAATTATTCTTTGGTTTCTGCAAAGAGAGAGCGAGATTAGGTGCAGTGCTGAAGGCAGGCAGTGCTATTTGGCAGCTGGCGAGGGGGTTCGGTCCCAGCCAATTGCGAAAGACGGTGATAACGCGGTGCCCGGTTTTCTAAGTTGAGCCACTGCCCGTACGGTGGGAGGAAGGGGTGTGTATGTGGGTGTTACCTTGTGGATGGTGCGCGGTGTGTATGTGTTGATATTCAGGTGATACTGCCGAGTAGGTATGAGGACAGGGGCTAACACAGAGTAGAGATGGGTGGAGTGCAGATTGTACCACTGAGAATGTTTTCCTGGGGGTACCACTTGATTTGAATGGTGCCGTTCTAGGTACAAGAGGGAGGGGCCGGGTAGTACCAATTCGGGTGCGGATATACAGGGAGAGTTATACTGTATATTACAAATTTGCTCACAGAACCATTGTGAGTGGGTGAGGCAGAATCCATGTAGTACCACTGGAGGCTTCATTGCGGGTGATACCACTGCATGGTACAGGGAGAGGGAGGATAGGAAGTACCACTTTGGAGGCTTAGGGAGGTAAAGCTTAGGGTGCACCCCGAAGTGCTGGGTCTGCTGGGGCCATGTAAGAAGTTGTCAGCACATGAGTTGTGTGGGGGACCTTCATCTTGAGTAAGAGCATTAATAAGGGGGTTGAGTGGATGGTAAAAGGACACTGACATGAGCATTTGAGGAGGGATAGTTTCACAGGTTGAAGAGGGTCGGGAAACCATGCCAAGACACGGCTCTTAGAGGCAGAGATTCTTCAGAGCAGGCAGTCCAGAGGATCTCTCATTGCCATGGCCTCAAACTGTACTGGGGGTGCAGCGACTGCAAGTGTTGGTGTAACTCTAGGCACTGCGCTCAGCGCTTCCAAGACAAAGACAAAGAAGAAGCATTTCGTCTGCCAGAAAGTGAAGCTCTTCCGAGCCTCAGAGCCACTTCTGAGCGTCCTTATGTGGGGAGTCAACCACACGGTGAGCAAGAGATGCGCCAGTGTAGTCCACTCCCCACTCCTTCCTCCCTTTATTTGTGTACATGGCAAGAAGCACCCATCTGTCTCGATCTGGAGGTGTACATCCTGCTGTTGGCCATTTCTGTTCTCCAGGAACCCCAGGAATGGTAGCGACATTTGTGGATGGCTAAACTCAGAATATGCAGTCTCTGCTGGTTCTGTTAGTTAATGTGGTTATCATCCATATTCTGCATGACAAAGTATATTGGAAGAAATGAAGGAGACTCCGGTGAAATTTCATGGGGAGGTTTATCAAAATCTGTGTGAAGATGTAACTGCTAAGTGACATACTCTTGTCTTTCATGCACATGTAGAGTTATTCTAATAAGTATGGATAATTTCATCTTCCTGGTTTAGGTTAGTAAGAGATGCTTTCCCTTCTGACCCATCTCATTTGCAGTTGTGGAAAGAAGAGTCAAAAAGTGTCAGCCCTTAAGAGTACAGCTCAACACAGAATCAGTATTTGTACAGTAGATTTATTGTGTCCAGCCCTGGCATACCCCAATTCCATACACACTTACCAGGGAGTAAATAGAACTGCAGCCTAAATTTAAGACCTTACCAACAAATTCTAGTTAAGTATAACTCCTGTATGCCACTTGCCTTATATGCTAGGCTGGATACAATACATCTACAGATACAGATTCTTTACTAATCATGAATTTGGATTTTTTGTGTAATGAATGTTTGAAAACACATGTGTAATGAATGTTTGAAAAGAAAGAGTTCAAATCTCATCAATTTTCAGCATTCCAGATTTCTATCAGGTCATTATAGGTGCATGGACAGCTAGGCAACTTGGATTTTGTCATCCCTATTCAGACCCCTTCAGTTTAAATCCCACTTCATCTTGCAGTTAGTTAACTTGAGCAAATTATTGCCTCTTTATCTATGTAAAATGGTACATTGCTTCACTGAGTTGCTGTGGGGAGGAAGAGAGAAGAAGGCAAAATGTTAAATATGCAGTAGAGTACTGTATAAATGCTAAATAAACATGAGTTATAATAAATAAAACCTCTTTCCACACTCACATATAAAAACTTGTGAATTCTAACCACAAATCATGGAAAATACGCCTCCCATAAAAGCATTCATGATCATCTCTTGCAACTTTTATTAGCTCTGGTTGCCCAGATAGCCCCTGAGAACTTAGAAGAGAGCTTTCTTTGACTAGCAGCAGCCCTTTCTTTGCTGGAGTGGGACAGAGTTCTTTTCATGTGTTATGTGCACATGTATGGGGAGCAATGGCTTATGCTACTTGAGACAGCAGCAGAACAGACTGTACACGAGGCAGTGATTAATATTAGCATCATGTGTAACAAAAGGGCAGAGTGTCCCTTTCCCCTCAAACTCTCACATTCTGTGGGCCAAACATGAGAGCATAACCCTATGGATGATCACTTCAGTGTTCCTCAAGCTTTAGGAAACTGCATCTTCTTTTTGTGATAATAGATATTCTGTCCTAGCCCAAAAATAAGGTGGGAAGGTAACTGAAGGAATGCCACCATTGGCAGTAGGCAGACAACTTCAGAGGCTAAGGAAGACTGAATGTTTCTATATGGTGATTTGTGAAGTGGGTAAAGGAACAATATAGAACAAAATTACTCACTTTGTCTTTTAATTACTACTTTTAACTGTTTCAGCTGCTTTAAGACTTCTTAATATTGGTTTAATGTATTGTATCTATTTTGGTATATTGCCTTGATGTTTTTGGAAAAACTTGGTATAATCCAGTAAAAATGATTGGAATAGAGTTGGGATATATGAAAGGATCACAGAATTAATCAAAGGGATTTAATCTGTCATCAGCAGAACAGTCTTTGAAATAAGTAGGTACATTTACAGACAATAGGTTCAATCAGTAGTTATTAGCCAGCTAAATTGACTAAACCAGCTAAATGGAACCTCCACATACAGGTGCTGGATACCTCTTATTGCCAAGCACTGAGGATAAGCAAAAGTGGAGATCTTTACAGGATCCTTCAGGGGGATCCAGAATTGCAATTCATGGAGAGACTATTAGCTTCTCAGTCACTTGGCTTATCTCTGCAAACAAACTGCATAGCCTTCCTTGCACAGTTTCAATTTTCTGGAGCTAATTAGTACTAAACTCAAAAGTGAGATTATAGAACCTCTCTTCCACCAGTCCTCCTCCCCTGGAAGCTGGGAATTCTGTAGTTCTATCAGTCACTGATGCAGTAGAATTATTTTCCCCCTAAGGAAGCTGCCCTCTATATTTCTGTAAGAGTCACTGCCCTTGTTCCAGTCAGAAGCTGATTGGAAGGCTGGACTCCAATAATGGTCCTCCACACTGCAGATGTTTGGAGATGCCAAAAGACTAAGCCTTAGCAAGTAATTATCTGACCGGATTGAGAGTGTAAGTAATCCTTTGCAAGCACTCCATCAACATCCCATTCAGATCCCCCAAGCCAGACAGAGTGTGTACTCCATCATATGTGTAGTGGAGGAGGAATAGCATAGTGGTAGAATGTGTTATTTGCAAAGCTCCCAGAACTGATCCCTAGCATGTCCAGGTAGGGCTGGGAAAAATCCCTTTCTGAAACCCTTGTTCAGCATACTGGACTAGGTGAACCAATATTCTGGCTTAAAAGGTAACTTCTTGTGTAGCCTTTGGAGTTTTTCCCTTTGCAAGATAACATGGAACAGCCCTATAGTTGCCAGGAAATGCTCAATGACTTCTGTTTGAGGGACTTTGGCATGGCAGCACCTTTATAAGCATCAAACCTAGGCTTGTGCCTCCCCAAAAATGAGTAGCCCCATTTTTTGCTGAGTCTTATAGGTGCTATTTTAGCTATATCTATACAACATTTTCCCTCCAATATCCAAGTGTCAGCTGGAAAAGGGATATTTTGACCATGCCTTGTGATTTGGGCTGAAAATCTTTGTAGTCCTTTGTTTTTCCATGGAAATTTTTTCAATTTTGTAAGTTCTTTAATAAAAATGAACATGTACCAACTGAAGATTCAATGTTAAGCAAACTTGGCCTATCAAAGTTTCAGAGTTTAAATTAATGTGTTATTCTAGCATGTGTGGGAGTGAAGACATATGTCTCATTGAAATACTTGTATGTCTCATAAGTAATGGCAGCAAAAATATAGGTGCCACAACCTTGTGAATGGTTGTCAGCATATCATATACAATTCTCTGGGTTGCTAAAATATATCTGTGTCAACAGTTTCAATGACTTTATACCTTGAATTTATACAAAGTAAAGGAAATCTGTGCTGCTGATTTTGAATTTTTATAAGTATTCCAGTAAAAATTTCTGGATAATAAACATTTAATTCATATTAATTGTGGTTTAATAGTTTTCCTTCAAATATTTCAGGCTAAACACTTGTGATGTAAAATTACTTGTGATGAAAAATTACTTTTGTTTAGCTTTGTTTACTAAATACAAGTTTAAAAAGCACATTAAATTAGCTCTTTCTAGGTCAGGGTGGGCAACCTGTGGCCTTCCAGATATTTTGGCCTGCAGCTCCCATCAGCTCTAACTTGGCATAATAGTGAAGGATGATGGGAGTTGTAGGCCAAAACATCTGGAGGGTCACAAATTGTCCACTTCTGCTTTAGGGCATTTTCTCATGCAAATTTGTTTTTTCTATACAAATTAACTTAATTTCCATTGGATTTTGGAATTCAAAATTTTCAGGAAAACCCACATCACTGCCACTTAGTCCCTGTACAATGAGATGTAGATCCATTTAGCACTAAGGAGAAAAACTGTGCTCTGCCCTTACCTTCCCTCTCCCCAGTGTTCAGAATTGAGAAAACATTGCAGCAGGGATAAGAGGCAACAAAACCCAACTCCAGCTATATTTTTTCTCCAAGGAATAGCTGGGTATCTCTCCCCGCTCTTTATATACTGTTTGCTTATTAGCAATTTCAGTTTGGAAAAAAATATTTCTTTAAAAATATTCTTGTATATGTTAACTATCTCTTCATTTTTCCTTCGAGAAGTCCAAGATGGCATGCATAATTTTTCCTCACTCTGTTTATCTTCACAACAAGGTTTAAAGGTAGGTTAGGTTGAGAATCGTTGCCTTGCTCAAATTCACCTAGTGAACTTCATGGTTAAGTACAGAGTAGAACCCAGGTTTCCTGACTCCTACTGCAATACTAGCCACTGTAGCGCAGTAGTTTCCAAACCTTTTGGCAAGACCGTTGTTTATTAAATATTCTTAGCCTTCATATCAGGTCTCTAAAAGAATGAACAATTCTGTGTGAGCATAGAAAAAGCACAGATTTAAGAATCTAAGCTTTCTTTTTTCCAAAAATAACATCAAGCTTCTCTCCACTTACAGTTGCACAGATATGTTTGAAAATTTGTGGGCAGTGCCTGCTGAAACCTAATAGGCTGACTAAACTTTCCAGTGGTCAACCATAAGCCTTTGGCTTCCCTTGTCTTTCCCCATGATGACTGCAATGAGAATAAATTATGCCAGGAAAGATAGAAAGAAATTGTACCATTGATTGATTTATGCAGGCTGCACATTTTTAACACCAAATTCTGATTGCCTGCATACAGAATTTCTCTTTTTTGTGGTGTGGACTGTTCACATCTCTGAGGCTGCCACTCAAGACCACAGTGCTTCTGTGGGATAGAATCTGGACTTGATTCAAATTGTTTCTGATTTCTCAGGATTGTCCTTTTTCAATAAGTACAGAGTAGACTTCTTTGTGACAGCATTCTGACCATGTGGTTGGATATTGATTGATTGATTGATTGATTGATATCCTGCCTTTTTTCTACAAAGGGCTTAAGGCAGCTTACATCATTCTCCTCCTCCATCTTATCCCCACAACAACAACCCTGTGAGGTAGGTTGGGCTAAGAGTCTGTGACTGGCCCAAAGTCACCCAGTTGGCTGAGCAGGGTCTAGAACCCAGGTCGTCTGAGTCCCAGTCCCATGCTCTTAACCACTACACCACACTGGGTCTCAGTGTGGTGTAGTGGATATAAATTGCTTTTGTAGACTACACAACTGCAGATCATCCACAGTCCAGCCAGTTAACATTTAATGGGGTTTAGTGGCTCTGCAGTTCACCAATGCTAGCAGCACAGGTGGTTTCCTTTTCCCCTTTGTTCATGGCCTGTTTCTTTTTCAGATTAATGAGCTGAGTAATGTCCCTGTCCCGGTTATGTTAATGCCAGATGACTTTAAGGCCTACAGCAAGATTAAGGTGGACAATCACCTTTTCAACAAGTGAGTAATTAGCATAACTTTTGATTTAATATTTCCACCCTGCCTTTAGTATATAAGTAGTGTTTTTTCCTACAACAATATGAACTATAGTTTCACAGGGAACAATGTAATGTGGAAGTGAGAACAAAAAAATGTGCATTGTAAACGAATAGCTCCAACATGCAGTTTTCCATCTCTGCCTGCCTGCCTGCCTGCACTCTAAACCTTGCTTATTGATCAGAAAAGCTGTAATTCACATTCTGATTAGGACAGGCCACAGGGAGCACTGTGCCTCCTAGTCTGGTTGCTTATATTCTTGCAGGCCCCAATCAGCATGTGGATGAACTTCCCCAGCTTCCATGGTCTTTGTCCCTTAGGGAGCACCTCTTTGCAGACGTGCCTCCGTCTTCATCTGGTATGTTGGGCTATCTGCCTCAAGTTCTACAAGGTTGAGGTCTAAGAAGCATTTGAAGGCATCCTCCTTCATCTTGGAAGGCATCCTCCTCCATTCTTCATCTTGAGGTGTTTCTGGCCAGTTTCTTCTTCATTTTTCATATCTCTTCTTCAGTCTTCACTATTCTGAAAGGCTTTTAAAATTGGCTTGTATGTTGGGGGGCTTCAAGTTTATACTGATGTGTCTACTATGCTTTTTGTGGCTTTGCCCCCCACCACAAACACTTTCATATTATTCCTGGGCGTTATAATTTTACAACACCTGTGGGAGATTTGAGTTTTTTCCATGGTATTTTAAGGAGGAGGGTTGTATGTTTTTTTTCCAAATTGTCATGCTACATATTTTAGGAATGATCTAAATAAGAGGAAACCCAACTTCATCACTAAGTGTTTGCTTAAAAGGCATTGGCAGCCAATCCTAGCAATCTGGTGACAGCACCTGTATGGTGCACATGTTGTCAAACACCTTTTTGTCAAATTTATGTTTATATATAAATGTTAAATTACCTTAGAACGGTGCCAAAATGTAATGTATGAAATGCCTTTGGTTTAATACATATTTTAAACCTAGTCAGATCTTAATACTCAAAAATAAATTATCTCTGCTTGTTTCCAGGGAGAACCTGCCAAGTCGCTTCAAATTTAAAGAATATTGCCCACTGGTGTTCCGAAATCTCCGGGAAAGATTTGGGATTGATGATCAAGATTATCAGGTATGGAACAAGGTGGTGGCATCTCTGGTGTATCGGAATAAAAGATTGCAATATGTTGGAGTCTGGCAGTATTTCTGTACCTGTTTGAGCGAATTGGAAGTTGACCCTTATTTGCACAGTGAAGCCAATGTAAAAATCCTAACAGGAATATAGGATCAGTCGCCCAGAACCATGACATAATTATTTATTTTATATATTATACATATATCGCAGCTTTCCTCCACAAAGTTCAAGGTAGCACGTATAGTTCCTCCGTTGTGTCTTCACAGCAGCCCTGCAAGGTAGCTTGAACTGCAAGAGGTTGACTTGCCAGCTTGAGGAATGAGGATTTGAACCCGGGTTTCCCTAGACCTAACTTGACACCGATGCAGGATTGAATGTGGAAGGAGGTTCGCAGGGCAAAGGCACTCGTGACTGGGGCCAAAGTGGGAGGGTCACACCCCAGCTGAAGTTCACCTGCCTTACAAGGTTTGGCTGAAGAAGTGGCTGACGCACCTGCCACGTGTTCTTTTGTTGCCCCTTTGCAGAACTCCGTGACGCGGAGTGCGCCGGTGTACAGCGAGAGCCATGGCCGCTGCGGGGTTCGCTTCCTCACCACCTATGACCGGCGGTTCGTCATCAAGGCGGTGTCAAGCGAAGATGTGGCAGAAATGCACAACATACTAAAGAAGTACCACCAAGTAGGGGATGTAGAAAAGCTGTAATGAGCACCAGCCTGTTACCCAGAATAGCTAATGGGGTGGGGAAGGGCTATTTCACTCTGGCTGGGAGGGCATTTGCAGATGTGTTCCAAAATTATGATATTCCCCATCCTTCCAGTACTGGAGAAGAAGAGAGGTTCATCTGTGTTGGTTCTAGTCCTTCAGCCAGTCTGTTTTCCTGGATTCATGGACTTTGATGGGAAGTCCTCAGCATCAGAGGGCACAGGAGTACTGCAGTCTTATTGGCTGTCTGGTAGTGCATTGAATTAGTTCCCCACTCAGATTTCCAATGTAAGGCCTTCAGCATTAGAGATACCAGGAGTAAAGTAATTTCATTGACAGGGTTCCTACAACATAATAACCCACACTCCAGGGGTGGGCATAAATTGAGCATTGCCTGAACCATGCTACAGTGGTAAGCCATGATTGCAGTTAACAAACCATGGTTGGTTATCATGGCTATGTTCAGACAACATGACAACCTACATTTCAGCAACAACCCACAGTTTAATAGTAACCAATGCTTAACCCTTAAGTGGGGGTTACAGTGTTGTGTGAATCCACCTACTCAGTTTCTGTAGGGAACTGAAGCCAGTGGCAACTTTCAGATTACAGCCCCACAGTTCATACTGCAGTTGTCTGTGTGCCATGTTCTCACATTTTGTTTCTGTTTTTTGTTTTCTATCAGCTTCACCATTCTCTGCTTCCCGTGGTGGCCGCTGCCTCAGCTGCTTTCAGAGTGGCCAGAGTTGCCCACTCTCCCATTCCTTGCCTTTGCTGAATGCTTACCAGGCTGCCAGATCTTGTAGCTCACAAGATCCATGCATTGGCAGGCTGGGCTGAATTATCATTATCAATATTGTGAGTCCCTTTCCTGTGGTATTCAACTGGAAAGGTTGGGGAAAGTCTCATTTAAAACATGGATCAAGAATCCTCACTAAAATGGGATGGTATAAACTGTCCCCATAGTTCCCTGCATCTGGATATTGTGCTAAAGGCTGCCAAGCCTGTATACAGAGTGAGCTCCAGTACTTTTAAGGGCTGTGTGCACTGAATAGAAAATTCATCCAGGCACTGCTGCCAGATTGAACAAACTATACCTGGTGAAGTTTGCTCTGCTCTGCAGTTATTAAAACAGAAGCTAGATCCCCATCATGGCCTGCTTTGGAAAAGCATATCTGATTTCACCCTCAAAAACCTTTGCCTAGCCAGAAACACCTTCAGTTATAACTGCAGGTTGATACAAAGAAAGGGCCATTCTGGAAGTTAGATCCTATAATGCTATTTTAATAGTATTTAGTTCACATGCTCAAAGTGCTTTGCACACAAAGTTTCTGGTATTTCAAAGCAATCCTTTTCTCCACCACCTCCACAGAATGCTTCAGATTAGGAGAATTAGCTTGCATCCTGTTTTTTCACTTTGTAGAAATTATCTGGAGTTGACTAGTTAGTTGATTTTTAAATTATGTTTATTTTTATTGGTCTTAGAGGTACTTGCAACATTTGGAGCAGCCCTGTAGCCATTCTTCTGCTCAAGCTGGAGATCTTTGGCCTGGCACTGATGGATTTCATCTTCCTCTTTTCCCCCCCTCTAGTTTATTGTGGAATGTCATGGGAATACTCTTCTCCCACAGTTCCTTGGCATGTACAGACTTACAGTAGATGGTGTGGAAACATACATGGTGGTCACCAGGAATGTGTTTAGTCACCGGTTGACAGTGCATCGGAAATATGATCTCAAGGTGAGGGCCATTCATACAGATGGGCCTTTGAATCATGGAGTCCTTAATCCTCTCCTGTGGTAGTAGACAGTGCCACTTGTGTGCTTTCCTGGGGACAGTAAATAGGTGCTGGCGCCTCGTGGTTCCAAGAGGAATTGGGGAACAGGGATTCTGTCTCTCTCATTGGAATGTAGCATTTTGGTTCTAGGGCTCTTCTGCATGATCAAATTCAGTCTGCCCTTAGCTCCTTTCTTATCTTCTGACACTGGGCTAGGAGAAGGCCTGGTGCTGAGGTTTCATGCTGATTGGCCACTCCCTTTTTAAAGAAAACCACAGGAGAAGAAAGCTGCCACCAAAGAATTAAAATGAAGAATAAGGTTCACATTTTGCCAATGAATGGTGTACTTATGCTGTGGTTCATTTACATTATAATTACATCATATGGCATACCAATTCAAAAAAGCCAGATACTACAAAAAGACACGTTAACAATTGTAAGTGGCCACTTTGGGAGAATTGAATATTTTGTCCTGAATAGCAACGTTTAGCTTGGCCATGATGGCTGGGAATTGTAATTTAGCACAGCTGGACCACTCCATGTTGAGCTGAGTGACTTTTGTCTTTCCTAGAGACTTCCATACTAACTTCTGGAGCCATTTTGAAATTGTCCCATTTGCTCTCTCTCAGCTGTGTGATAAGTGTCTGCCAGTTGATTTCCATCCTTTCACAGAATGTCCACCCACAATAGGCAGCTGGTGGTTGGAAATGAAATACTTTGTTGTATGTTCCTGTGCTGTAAGGGGCTTTGTCACTTATCTAATGACACAGCAATTGCAAAAATAATAGTGATAGGCCTACATCCTGACTTGTTGGCTTAAGCAGGCCGAGGTCATCTCTGTCTAGCCCAGTGTTCTGTCTCCAGTGGAGGTCAGGTAGATAAATTAAGAGGAACTCATGGTTAGGGAATTAAGGAGATAGGTCTGCACTATCTGATAATCAGAAACATATTGCCTTGTTTCCAACTGTTGTGGCTATTGTCAAATCCTTCCTCCTGAAACTTGCTCTGCCTTTGGTGAATACCATCTTTGCCCAGAAACTGTTGGGAAATGCAATATGATGGGCATGGAGGGTCAAGGGTAAACAAAGATATATTGACTGTGCAAAATAGCCCTTAGTTAATCAAGGCTTCATTCTAGCTTTTAGTTGAATTACTGTGCTGTTTGCCTCTAAAGTAGGTCTCTCTTCTCTGTGCCTGTTTACTTTCCCCTCTAGGGTTCAACGGTAGCAAGGGAAGCCAGTGACAAGGAAAAGGTAAGAAAAACTGTTGCAGAGGCCTTTGAAAAGCAGAACACATCCCTGGGATTCTCTGTAAAACTAAAAACTTTGCTGCTGTGTGTGTAACTGTAGCAAGGGTGGAGGGAAACCTATGTTTTGAGACTGAATAGCTACAGTTACATATCTCCAAATAACTTCATTAGTTGGCAATGAACAGCAGGTAGTAAGAGTGTTCCCTGTCTTTCCTAATATTCATCCAAAGCCCTAAACAGCTCTGGGCCAAATTATCTGAAGATTGTCTCCTACCGTATGTACCTGCCTGGACCCTGAAGTCATCTTTGGGGGTCTTTTGCCAGGAATCCCTCCCAAAGGAAGCGAGATTGGTGGCTGCAATGAGGAGAGCCTCTTTGGTTGTGGCACCCTGGTTGCAGAATGAGCTCCCCAAAGAGGTGCACCTGGCACCTACTTTTTGGCACCACATGAAGACCTTTTTATTTTCTCCTTACTTTAACAGTTTAACTTTTAAACTTTATTTTTTACATTGCATCTTATTCTGTACCACTACTATGCTTCTATGCTGATTCAATTGTAATAGCTGTTGTGGTTTTGTTATTTTAATACTGTGTGTGTGTGTGTGTGTGTGCGCGTGTGTGTGTGTGTGTGTGCGCGCGCGCGCGCGTTTTGTTAACCACACAGAGAGCCTCAGTTATGGGACAATGTAAAAATGAAATAAAGAAATAATATTTTATTCTGTTGATTTTCAAGTAAAATATTTGTCTGCCTAGATTCTAGGCTACCTTTTAGAGCCATGACCTCCCAGTTTAGCCTCCCAGTTTATATAAAACATCCTACTTCATCAAAATCGAAGCATGTCAACATACCACAAGCCACCATAAAAATAGACTAGCATTAGCAATGACAGTAGCAACCCAGGATAATATTAAAAATCATTAACATCTATTAGTTGACTGGTGTTTACCAAAACAAACATCTATTGCTACCTTCTGTTTTGAGGAGGGTGTGTGGGTGAAGTGCCTGCTTGTTTGGAAGCTGAGCTCTTGTTCTAAACACTGGTCTGGGCAAATCGGGAAAATGCTCAGAGGGTGCATACTGGCAGTAATGTTGGGGGACTCATTTTCAAAAGTGGAAAACAGACACCTCTTCCCCCACGCCCATTGACTAGCGGATTTTCTCTCTCGCGTGTGCACACACATACAAACAGAGGCACCTGCTGTGATTTTTCTGCACTTGCATAGCCAGCCAGCTTACTTCCCTCTGGGGTCCCTGTCACATGTTTACTCAGACATGAAGCAGGCACATCAAGCACAGTTTAAAGTGTGCTGTTGTTCCCTGGCTTTTTCCTGAGCTGAAGCACACACTGAGGCAAAAACAATGTCACAATTGGTGACAGGAAGCATGTTTAGAAGAAGTTATTTATTTCTATCCCACTTTTTTCTTACAATGAACTCAAAGTGGCTATACAATCAGTGGGTACCATATACAAGCTATGGGTTGTCCACAGGTGTTCTAAGAGAATATAGATCATGATTAGCTGTATATCCTCTGGTATATGATTTCTAGGAGAGCTGCATGCTTTTAATCAGTAGACTAGTAAGCTAAGGATTTAGTGGTAGTGAAAAAGAAAAAAAATCACTTATTTGGGTATTGAGGCCATTAAGGCTCAAAAGTGGGACTGATTCCTGAGGAGGCACACACTGGATTGCTTTGTAAGTGATTTAAAATGAAATACATTCCAACTTTCTTTTTAAGTCACTCTCCTGGGAAAAAGAATTGTTTGTTTATTGTTTGTTTGTTTGTGACTTTTATAAACTGGTGAATTAGCAAAAAGGGCTCAATGGTGTACAAAGGATAAAAACTATATAAAAACATAATACATGTACATAGATGTCAATTAGACATCTAAACATCCATTGAAATATAACAACATAAACAGTAATAACAAATAATAATATATAACATGAAAACAATATCAAATATTGTAATTGTATATTATTCAATATAAAATCAAATATTAATATCTAGCTATTAAAATACTGACAAAATTAAAATGCTTTTACCCCACACCTCCTTGGGAAACTGATTCCACAGTTGGGGTGCCACAGCCAGGAAGGCCCTTTCCCTCATGGCCAACTTCCTTACTTCTTTTAAAGGTGGCTCTTTAAGAAGGACCTTTGTAGATGCCCTTAGGGTGGGGGTAGGTTATATGGAAGCGATGTCCCTTTAGATATCCAAATCCTAAGAACAGGGCTTATGTGTTCATGTCTGCCCATCCCTGTCAACAGGCGAGCTACCCTATTTTGTACCAGTTGAAGTTTCTGGACCATTATCAAGGGCAGCCCCATGTAGAGCACATTACAGTAGTCCAAACACAAGGTTACCAGAGTGTGGATTACCATTGCTCGGTTCTGCGTTTTCAGATAGGGACATACCTGATATACCAGGTGGAGTTGATGGAAGGTGCTCCTGGCCACAGATGCCACCTAGGACTCCAGGGACACTGTTGGGTCCAGGAGCACTCCCAAGCTCCTCACTTTGTCCTTATGGGGAGTGTAACCCTGTCCAGGACAGGGCAGATGTCCTCCCCATGGCCCCAATAGCACCTCTATCTTGTCTGGATTAAGCTTCGATTAATTAGCCCTCATCCAGTCCATCACCCCAGCCAGACACCGCTTCAGTCATCACTGCCATACGTGTGTTAGAGGTAAATGACAAGTAGAGTGAGTGTCATCAGCATCAATTCAAGTGTCTGGAAACCTGCAAGCAATGTTGCTGGTGTGTTTCCAGAAAGTTCCTTTTCTTCCTGAAACCAGGCAATGTGATCCATTTTGCCTGGAATTAGAAGGCTTCTTTTAGCCTTTAGAGAGGCTTGGGACAGAACATACATTAGCAATGAACCAAGTCAAAGTATTCAGTGGTCAGACAGTGTGTGTGTATCATCCAGGATTATTCTCATAATTCTCAGCCCTGCCCTTCCCTCACAGATGGTATGAGAGAGAAAGAGGTGCTCATGTCTGCCTCCAGTGAGCATGCAGAATCCTTACGTGGCAGGAGTGCTTTCTTTCTGAAGAAACCAAAATGTGATCACATGCATGAAGTACAATTTAAAACGAACAACTTTTTAATTTTTTCCCCATTTGGTTAATTAAGAAAGTATTTAATTCTCCTTTCTCATTTTATTCTCACTCCCTCCCTCCTTTCTAATCCAGAAAAGCCAGATGGTGTTCCTTCTATTTTTAAGGACTGTCAGTTGATTAGACATTCAGATTATTTTTTAACTTGAAAGAATTACAAACCTTTCAAAATGTGCATCAAAGCCTTTGATTGTTGTTCCTAAAACATTGCTTTGGTGAGACACTGACCTCTAGCATAGACTTCAATATCAAGGAATACCTAAGTATCCATGAGTTCCGGTGGAGATTGCTTGGTTGGTTTTCAAAAAACAAACTACTGTGGATCTGCATGCTTTTGAAATGATATTGAATTCTGTAAGATAATCAGAGTAATGAGTAATCAATTGTACCTTTAAAAAAGAACACGATGGTGTGGCGGGAATAGAAGTATTTTTAAATTAATGAATATTTGCTTGTTATATTTATACCCCACCTTTTTCCTTGCAAGGAACTCATGGTGGCTCACATAATTCTCCTCCTTTCAACCTTACCCTCACAACAACAACCCAGTGAGGTAGGCTGACTGAGAGTTTGGAACTGGCCCAGAGTCACCCAGTGAACTCCATATTTAGAATCCAGATAGCCTGAGTCCTAGTCTTACATTCTTAACCACCACACCACACTGTAGTAAATGCATCTGTAATACACAAGGAAATTGTAGAAACAAAGGAAGTATGAGAGCTCCATTTGGCTACAACCATTAGTCTGCTTGTTGACTTCTGAAAATAAAATCCAGGCTTCTTTCTGCATCCTCTTGCTAGTACTTTAGCCAAGGTAGATTCAATAGGTTTAGTAGGGTCACATTCCTAAATAGTCTAGAAAAGCTAAATTGGGTGGTATTTCCTAGTATACAGTGTATTAGTTAAGCTATGGAATTTGTTGCCATGGGAAGTGGTGATGGCCACCAGCTTGGATGGCTTGAGAAGGGGACTGGACGGATCCATGAGGGAGGAGGCCATCAGTGGCTCCTAGCCTTGCTGGCTGAGTGCTGCCTCCTTCAGCAGAGGGGGCTGCCTGCACACGCCAGTTGCTGAGGAGCTTGGCTGGAGGAGGTCTTGCACCCGTCCTGCTTGAGGGATCCTGTGGGCAGCTGGTTTGCCACTATGTGTGCGGAGTGCTGGACTAGATGGACCTTTGGTCTGACCAGCATGGCGTTTCTTATGTTCTTAGTGGTTGGAGAGAAAGAAACCCTCAGAGTAAATTTCCATCTTCTTCAACTATAGAGTCCTACTTCTGCATTGTGAAATTAGGTGTTTTCCAAGTTACACATAAAACAAAGTAATCTGGTCCATAGAAAATGCACAGTTAATACCTATATAAGAGCCAACCAGATATATGGTTAAAGTTTAGACATCTTTTATTCTGTGATCTTCATAAACTCTCTCCCCATAACACTGTAACTTATTATACCTCCCCCACCCTTACACAATTCCCCCCCACTCACACACATATAAAAGGCATCAACCTCTTACTGCATTTTTGTGCAGGGAAGGTGCTTAACGGTGTTTTGGTTGGCCTTGTCTTGTTCAGTTGCAAAGTTGTGCCCGACTCTCTGCAACCCCATGGTCCACGGCATGCTAGGCTCTCCTGTCCTCCACTGGAGTTCACCCAACCCCAAGCCCACCACACCAGTGGAGCCACCTCAACCTCTGCCATCCCCTTCTCCTTTTGCCTTCAGTTGTTCCCAGCATCAGGGTCTTTTCCAATGAATCCTTCTTCCCACTAGGTAGCCAAAGTATTTGAGCTTCAGCTTCAGTTGTCCTCCTGCATCTCTGTATTATTATTCTTGAGATGGAGCAACCAGAACTGTGCATAGGATTCTAAGCATAGCAGCACTATATATCAAGATGCAGAACTCTAGGTGGCCTAGAATGCTGGAAAGTGGTACAAGCCAGTTAGATGAAAGCTTGAGGAGGACCCTGTGGACAGAAGAAACACTTTGCAGGTGCAAGAAACAGGTTCAGTAGCCTGGCAGACAAGGGCAGTCAAAGTGAGACCGAAATGCTTTTACAGCAGTCACAAGTCAAGGGAAGCCAGAAGGTTCCCAGGTGAGGGGAGTCATCCTAGAGCTTCAGATGACTTCATGATCCAGAGAACCTTTCAGTCCACAACATCCTCAACTTACTGCATAAATAAGAATGTTTGAGTGTTTGCTTCAGCAGCCTGACCATTATCTTTTTATTTTTATTCATACTCTAAAAATGTGCAACACTGAATTTGCCTTTCTTGTGACCTCTGCAACCTGCACACTGAGCCAACTGTTTTTCTCCAAACTCCCTGACATGACCAGGACCTTTGTTCTGGATAGTTACAACTACGTGGATTCTGTGTCAGCGCATATGTGAAATGAAATGGGGGTTTGGGTTTGGGGTACTTTTCCCCCCTACTTATTCCAGTTTATGCTCCTTTCTAGGCTAAGGATCTACCAACATTTAAAGACAATGACTTTCTGAATGAAGGCCAAAAACTTCATGTTGGAGAGGAATGCAAAAAGAACTTTTTGGAGAAGTTGAAGCGAGATGTTGAGGTAGAGTGTGCTGGTGGGTCAGTAGGAATGTGTGTGAGCTAAGCAGTGTGATGATTGTAGAACAATAAATCCAGAAAGGACCACAAGACTTTTCCTTTCCCCATATGGAGCTTTGGGTAACCTGTCCTGCCTTTAAGGCTACCTGTCCCACAGTCTCCAAACCTGGAAGTGCTCAGGCTGCTGCCAGCAGTATCCCATTTCTCCTTGGCTGAGTTTGAGGTTATTTCCCGTGGCTGTTCCATTTCTCTCTTCCTTCTCCTCTCTCTCTCTTCCTTTGCCCTGTGACTCCTTCACCCACCCTCCCTTCAAATGCCTACTTCTCACCTTTTGTTATTGTGGCAAAACCTCCACTGAGTGTGCATGTGTGGGAGGGTGTTAGTGATGTCCAGGCACCCTCCCACACATGCACACTCACTGCAGATGTCTGGAGATGGGATAACTTTGCAGAAATCCTTTTTTTAAAGAAGTAAAGGAAGAAGTGGCCACCTGGCCCCAAATCTGGAAAGTAGGCTACATGCTTGCATTCGCATAGAAAGTAGGGGAACGGGGAAAGGATGTGAAATAAAAACAAGTCAGACCATTACACAGGAACCAGGTAATCCACTGCAACATTTTGTTTCAGGTTTGATTTCTTGTTTTATTGCTGTCACTGTCACCTCAAACAGTGAGAATGTTAATTAACATACTTGGAAATCTGTTGATGATGAAAAACGATAAACTTTACTTGGTAATAAGGAAAAGTTGCAGCAACCCTAAGGAACAGCATGGCAGTAGCAAAGATTGGGAGTAAGGGAACAGAGCAGGAAGAGGTGAATTGGTGGGTAGTTGAAAAAGGCAAGAGATAACAAAGAAGAGATGTGGGGGACAAGAACCAGATGTTAATGCAGAACATGACAGTGTGTTCATGGAGGGGGACAATTTCCAAACTGTGTGCCATCAGAAATAAATGTTTTAGTGTGTCTAGTGAACCCTAAATGCCCAAAGTTGTTTGCTTTGTTTCTGTATGTCAGCCCAGAGGCAGGTAAAAGTTGGGATGGTAATAATTTCTAATTTAGATAGTCTGTATACAAATACCTATTCACTGGTGTAATTTCAAGAGGGGAATTTCTCTATTGCTGGAAGGCTGGGAAATGGAGACTAGTAGACAGTGGGGGCTTGGTGGAGATGGTCTGGACTGACTGGAACATGAAGTCAGAATGGAAAGGAAGACCAGCCCAAGAATGTAGTTAGAGCAGACAAAATGAAAGGTGACCAGAGTTTCGAAGTTAATGGAGGCAGCCAGTCTTGGTCTGAGCAGGTGGGTGCAAGGTCATAGCAAGAGGAGAGAACAACTGCCTTTTTCTTCACTTCCAGTTTCTTGCTCAGCTGAAGATCATGGATTACAGTTTGCTGGTAGGAATTCACGATGTAGACCGTGCAGAGCAGGAGGAGATGGAAGTTGAGGACCGGGCAGAAGATGAAGAATGTGAGAATGATGGCATTGGTGGAAACCCCGTTGGTTCTTATGGGACTCCTCCTGACAGTCCTGGTAACCTTCTCAACTTCCCACGTTTTTTTGGGCCTGGGGAGTTTGATCCTTCAGTGGATGTCTACGCTATGAAAAGCCATGAAAGTGAGTGATGGATTCGCATTTGGGGGTTTATGGGGGAGAGGATATGGGAGGCAAAGAGTGTAATCATATGGATGGAAGGGAGAGTATTGTGTGTCAGTCCTCTGGCTGCAGGAATCTAATAATGTGGTTGGTTCATTTGGATCAATATGTGACATTTAGCCCACCCCACCACCTTCTGTCTCTTTGATATCCCAAGACCTCTTAGCATCCTGACCCACAATTACTTGGCCACCAAAGCTTCTTTTTCTGTCTTCTCCCCTTTCAGTGCATGACAGCTTGCCCACCACTTCTGGTCTTTCCTTGCAATGTGCAATCACAGAGGAAGGCTGTGTCTCATCTTGGGGTCCGCTGCTGTTTGCATAGAGCCATAGTATGGCCCAGTCTGTCTGGCCTGTGCTCTGTATGGCAACGTGACCTGGAAAATGCCCAGAATCAGTAGTCACTGTGGCAGATAAGTCAGTTTGGTAAGGATCACCTAAATGTAGAAAGCTGAAAATTCACTGGCCTAATACATGGATGTCTTGGAGGTACCACTGCTGTTCATTATGCAGAAATTCTTTAAAAGCAAGCAAACAAACCTAAACATGGGCATACACTGTAGGTAGGAAGCTCCTGTTACAGTTTTTTTTAAATCAGTTCGTAATATTGCTGATGAGGCTGGTGCTCTTCATGTGCTCAGGGCATCTCTTGATACGCTCTGCCAAATTAATGCTTCCACTGGGATATTATGGGTGCTGCCTTGAGGCCTTTGCTGGGTTGCAGATGTGTTTCTTGACTCACATATCTCACTTTGAAACCACTGGGAGTACTTCAGCAGTGCTTGCAATTCAAAAAGGACAGCAAGCCTTAAAGGTGACACTCTCTGTGTCGATGTGAACAAGTTTCTCCCTCTCTGTCTCTCTCATTTTAATCAGGTGCCCCTAAGAAGGAGGTGTATTTCATGGCCATTATAGATATCCTCACGCCATACGACACAAAGAAAAAAGCAGCGCATGCTGCTAAAACTGTGAAACATGGGGTAAGAAGAAGCCATTCATTTTCTTTCTCCTAAGCCTATGGCCAGAAAGTTTCATTGGATGTCACCAAGTTCTGCTGTTAGAGAGGGGAAGTATTTCTCTCCATCTCCATTTTGATTATTTAAGAAAGTTCTGTCATTTCTCAGATTATTTCAGTTGCTCTTTTCTGTATACTTTCTAGCTCTACTATCCTTTCTGAGATGTGACTACTAGCAGTTACTGCAATATGGCAGTGTGACTGCACTATGGACTTAAATACTGGCTTTGTGATACTTGTTCTACTGTTATACCTTCCAAAAAATTCCTAATATCTGTTTTGTCTTTTTTCACTGCCTACTCGCAGTGACGTCCTGCCCAAGAGTTGTTCCTTCAGTAGCTGTGGGCACTGAAGTCTCTACTAATTAGGGCAACTGTCCCCAGCCTGGTGCCTTCCTGTTGTTTTAGACTACAGTTCCCAGCCTGGTAGAGCTGGTAAGAAATGAAGTCCAAAACTTTGAGAAATCATGGAGAATGGGTAAAGTGCCAGCTGACCAGAGGAGGGCTAATGTTGGGCAAAAAGGAGGGTCCTGGGAAATAGACTAGATAGGCTGACAGCAATCCTTGGGAAAGTTCTGGGGCAGATAATAAGTCAGTCAGTCTGTATTTAGCTCTTTATTTTTAGACTTATTTTCTGTTAATTGGCCTGAAGGCCCTCTAAGTTGATCACAATAAAAGATTGTCTGTAAGCACTATGAAGACAATGGAGTAATTGCTAGAAGACAGCATGGATTTAGCAAGAATAAGTCTTGCCAGATTGATCTAATCTAATTTTTTGATTGGGTAACCTCTCATGTAAACCGTGGGGATCCTGTGGACACAGCATATCTTGATTTCAGCAAAGTTTTTAACAAGGTGCCCCATGACAGTCTGATCAGCAACCTGGCTAAAAGTGGGCTAGATGGAACAACTATCAGGTGGATTCATTGACCATAGAATTGGACTCAGAGGGAGCTTCTCAATGGCACTTGCTCAGACTGGGGAGAGGTAATGAGTGGGATACCGCAAGGATCAATCCTGGCCCATTGATTAAAATTAATTCATTTAAAATAATGGCTTGGATGGAGAGGTGCAAGGAATGTTGATCAGATTTGCAGATTACACAAAATTGGGTTGGATCGCTGGAAGACAGAGACAAAATACAAAGTCATCTTGATAGGCTGGAGCCCTGGGCTGAGAACAACAGAATGAATGCTGCGAGTACTGTGTTCAGTTCTGGGCACCACAGGTTAAGAAAGATGCAGACAAACTGGAAGGGGTTCCGAAGAGGCCAAGAAGGTTGATCCAGCGATTGAAAACAAAGCCCTGTGAGGAAAGACTGAAAGAGCTGGGCATGTTTAGCCCTAAGAAGAGAAGATTGAGGACAGATATGATCACACTTTTCAAATACTTGAAACACTTTCATACACAGGTGGGGAAGGATCTCTTCTCAATCATCCCAGATGCAGGACTTGGAATAATAGGTTTAAGTTACAGAAAGCTAGATTCTTCCTAGCTATCAGGAAAATCTTCCTATTAGAACACTATGGCAATGGAACCTTGGGAGGTTGTGGGCTCTCCCACACTGGAGGCATTAAGAGGCAGTCAGACATCCATCTGTCAGGAAAGCTTTTAATGTGGAGTTTTGCTTTGAGCAGCGAGTTGGACTCAATGGTCTTATAGGTCCCACTCTACTGTTCTATGATTCTAAAACATCTGGAGGGCACCAGGTTGCAGTAGGACTTAATTAGTGTATATTTGGAGGTAGGACTTTTAAGCCACTGGAGTTGCTGCAATACCAGGCTTAGACTGTTGACATCTATGAAATGTCAGTGATCTGTATTACAGTTTTCACTTAAAATTATGTTCATGTGTTCAGTAGTTCATGGTTGGTTTACGAAAATCAATTGGTGCCAGAGGACTACAAAGCTGGCCACTTTAGCACTCTCCCATGTCCCTTTCCCTTCTCTCATTGCTTGCAGGAGGTGTTTGCAGTGGGGGGGGGTGGATATAGAATTGATGTTCTGTGCATCTGGGGAGGCAAAAGAAGAGAAGTGATGGGAGATTATTGCTTTTATGCACATGTGGAAGTGTGCGTGCAGGCTTGCATGCTTGTGCACACGTACATACTACTGCAGCCTGATACATCTTGAATCAAAACTTCTTTCTCGGGAGCATCTCAGTTAGTGTTGCTTTTTCTCTGTCATATATTCTGTATTCCTTGGGAACCTGCCAGGATGTGTGTTCCTTTTTCTGTTTTGATCCTCCTTTCCCTTCTTTTCAGTAGCAGGAGTGGGAGGGAGACTGGACTCCAATGCAGCTATTGGGATGCCTGTCTTCTCTTCTTCATGGTCTCTTTGCAGGTCCATATATGGGGAAACCTGCACAGAGTGTCTCTGGAACATTCTAGAGTGAGAATCTAAACCTCTGATCACAGTGCCCTCCCACCTTCTTTGCAGCAAAAGGGGCAGACCACATGGCTTTCCAATCAGTTCTTTGCCCACCGCAGCAGTAGCATCAGGGGAACATCCATTCAGAACTTTTGCCAGGGAGCTGTTGATCTTTGACCTTTGTCAAACTGTTTTCTAGGCTCTGCCTTGGGTATTCAGGTGATCTGATTCTTGGGTATTTGAACTTGTTCCAGTGCCACAGTTAGAAGAGCAGTCCTGATGTCTTATTCTCCCACCTTCCAGGAAAGTGACCTTGTTAGTCTCCAATATGTATGCCTGCACCACAAAGGAGGAGGATGGGATGCTTACTTGTAACTGAATCTCTTTGAGTGGCCCTCTGTGCAACTGCATATTCTTGATGAACAAAGATAGAACAGGTTCAAAAGGATTACTTTTCTCTACTGGTGAAGGCAGGGCCAAGAACATGAAATCTTGTTCACCTGGAAAGGGAGAAACTGCAGCTGAAGAGACTTGTTTTGCCTTTGTGTCTGAAGCCCAGCTGTTGCTTTAAAATGAAACAGAACAGAACTTGAGGAAGGATGTACAACTTCTCTTAGCAAAGGCCAGGTGCAATGCATGGTTGCATTGTGGACAGCAGGCCGGTCCGGGGCTCTCCCAAGAGTTGCGGTGCTGCCCAGCCATGTCTTCTAATTAGGCACCCCCCCCCCCCACCACAGGGAAGGAAGACTGGCAGGATTCATATAGCTGAGTGGACATTTTCTTCTCAGCTTGGGGCTGTGGGGTCCATCTGTAGCAAGGGAGTAGTGTAGGAACATCACCCCACTTGCACAGTTCACTGCCATTACAGGAGTACAGTCTGCGGGATGGTTTTTCTCAGCTTTCTCCACAGAGGTGGTAACTGACCCATGTGAATAGGTGGCAGGATTGGGGTTATGTTCTAGCCTGACATCCTCAGTTGTTTGAACCAAGTGTTCCTCAGAAAAACTAGCCTTCTGGGCCAGAGAGAGCTATTCTTGCTGTCACAGGCACACACCCAAAAAAAAAAAAAAAAAAAAGGAATGCTTCCATGCTAGGAATCTATGCACACCAAAGAGAAGCACTACCACACCATGCCAGGTTGGAATGTTGCAAGACTGAAGGTCGGGGAGCTGTTTATGCCGCTGGTAGGGGATTTGCAAGGCTTCGTGAGTGTGTGCCCAGACCAAGCAACAGCCTGAACAGCTGATGAACTGCAGCAGGAATGTTCTCTGACAGGCACAACTGATGTCAAGTGTTCAGTCTTGGACTAGGGTAAGCATTACAATTACAGATCAGAGATGGTGGACTCAAAGGAAGAAGCCTCAGCCTAAGCCACATTTATCTGTAGGTTCTTTAACATGGATGCTTTCCCTGTAGTTGTAAACAAGGCTGTAAGGACATTAAAGCTTTTGGTACCGTTTTGTGTAGTCACCCCTACAGTTGCAGAGTATTATAAGCATTTCTGAGATCTGGCCATTCAGTGCTCATATTGCCATTCTTTGTGGCTTTTCACTACCCACATGAAACTGCTACCTTATCAGACAGAGCAGTTGTAACCTACTCTGTCATTGCTACAACATCAGTTATGTGAATACATGCCAACGTTAAGAAGTTCCAGCTGGAACAAAGCACCTGAGATGGTTTAAACATGTTGGCCCCAGTAGCAGCATTCATGGCAGATTTCCCATTGGAGGGATGTTGGGCATTCAGTGAATTTCAGAGAGAAGCCATTCTCTAGCTGTCGGAGACAAGAACTTTTCTGGCCTTGGTGCCAGCAAAGTTTAGGGGATCTGGAATAGTCAAGCAGGCTGACTGAACAGAAAAGTTACGGACTGTACAAAGTGTTCTTTGAACTGGACCGTTTTCCAGATTTCCTTTAATAATCTGTTTGTGACAACAGGCCATCAGGAAGGTCAGGAGGTTCATACCCAGGTATCCTGACTGATAAACTGAAGCCATAGTCACTTGGCTATCTGAGTGGCCTCAGAATTTCCTATATGCTTTTTCTCCATTTCCCCCCATCATGAGGATACAACACAAAGTTGTTCACAAGGCATTGGTTCTCCTGGCAGTAGCATACAGGCCCAGGAGGCCATAGTTTTTCAGTTTTGTGGATCCTGGCATGGGCCCACGTGAAGGCTGATGTCCCAACCCAGTGTCCAGCCCTTCATTCAGACTAGTTACTACTCCATGTCTAGAAGGTGAATGGAAACAACTGCTGAAGTAAGGATAGTGAACTCTGTCTTGGCCTTCTGACACTCTTCCACTAATGCATTCCACAAAGCTGTTTCAGAGTTGGTATAGGAATCATGGGGTCATAGTGTAAAAAGCTCAGATTGAAAAATTTCTAACTTTCTGAAGTTGGGCCTGAAGAAGGGCCTAGCGATAAACATCCTCAGGTAGGCTGGGTATATGGGTAGCATATTCATCATATGTGGGCTGAGTTTGATAGCCCACCATCACCAGATGAAATGATTCTTGCAAAGGGATCTGTTTATTTCTTTATTATATTTATATCCTGCCATTTTTCCTTCCAAGAAACTCAAGGCATCTTACAGAATTCTCTTCCTCTCAATCTTATCTTGTTGATCTCATCACCAGTGATACACAGGCCCTTGTCTTGGAACCTTTCCTTGGTACTGTGAGCCTTGACAGCAGATCCTTTGAAGCCATCTGGATGATTCCTATCAAGGAACTTGTATGAAATGGCTTACCTTGCTGCACTGACTGACTTGCAGAGTGAAGCAGTTGGAAGTGTTTTCAGTGAATGAAGAGCTTTGTACCTTTCTTCCATATTGGGTGGTTTTTAGGGTCAATCCCAATTTTATGCCTAGGGTCAGCTTGGTCTTTCATTTTTTCCGGAAGATGGTTCTCCCTAAGTTTTGTCCCAAGCCAGCTCACCTATAGCAGCGTAGCCATCAGAAGCTAGATGCATGTAAAACACTGCAAGTTTTGCAGTCATGGTGCTTGAATGTACTCTTTGTTGCCAATAAAAGGGGGAACAAAAGGAAGGAAAATATCATGGTCCATCATTAGTGAGTGAGTTGGAGGATGTGTCAGAATACATGTCAAAGGTGAGAGACCCACTTTTTGCTCTCATTGCAAATTCTTTGCATAGCCCTGTAGCTTCAATGATGCTGCTTCAGGGATGCTGTGCAACGATGGCTGTAGAGCATTTATTTGGACAAATTCATCCACTTTTTTTGTTTTGACATTACAAAGATGACAAATTCACCTTACCTGAGGATTCATTCAGAGAGAGAGAGTCTGGTGGCAAGCTCATCTCCCGGCTTACTGCTTTCAACATCCTTTCCCTATTTGATCCGTCCTCTTGCTGAGAATGAAAAACTGGATTTCTAATGAAATATCTTTCTGGACAGTATGGGATAAAGCAAGTGGACCCTTGAAGTCTCCCTTTCCATGGGGAAAGGTGTGTATTGCGTATATGTACTGCCTAGATTAGGAACTAGGAACTGGTTAGGAACTCCAGTGGCATCCCTCTGTTCTCTTTGTCAGGTTTTCTTTTTTTCTACCAGTTAAAAGATGTTTGTAAAAATACATTTCTTCGGTTAGTTTATTATTCTAGTTTTCTGCAAGCCTTCTGACTTGAAGGAGATTCATTATTTCCTTACCTTAAAAAAAAATCAAATTAAGTCTTAAAATCTGATTCCCTGACATCACTGCTACAGGTCCGTCCTTGAGCCAAGTGGTCTGTTCCCTTGGGCACATGCATAGAACCTCAGGGTGCGCCTGGCAAGCACAATGCCTGGAGAATGTTCCAAAGAAAGCACAGGCTTTCCCATATGTGGTACATGCATGTGTGCGTTTGTGCGTGAGCAAGACAGAGAACCAGTGTTGAGATTTCATTTTCTTAGGGTATTGCAAGATTTAGTAGAACTGTTTCCTACTTTTCTAAACTAATTACATGCTTGGGGCAAACTAGCGACAGAAGATCCTTATTGTGAACCTCATGCACTTCTTTCAGCTATTTCTTTTGTCTTCCAGGCTGGAGCAGAGATTTCCACTGTCAATCCAGAGCAGTATTCAAAACGCTTCAATGAATTTATGTCTAATATCCTGACATAGTTGTCTTCCCATCCTTGGCAAAAACTTGGAGGGAGAAGAGAAGTGGGAAAGAAGGGCACTACTTCTAAAGCAGCAGGAGCGCAGTCCACTCTGCTGGGGTGTGATGTTCTGTGAGTGTTTGATAACAGTGTGACCTAGCAGAAAACTAACTTCTAGCTGTAGATCTCCAAATATCCCACTTAACCTGATGGAAAAATGGGATTTCTCCCTCACCCTTCTTCTCCCTCTCCCTCTCCCTTCTTCTCCCTCTCCCTTCCTCTCTTTCTCCCTCCCTCCCTCTCTTTTTCTTATTTTGATGGCTAAAATATCCAAACATAAAACCAAGGAATTAAGTACTGTTAAGTTCTACACTTCTTATCTTTGAAGAATATCACAGTCTCCAGATGGTCAGATGCTAATCTGAATAAATAGCAGAGGTTAACTCTGCACGTGGATAGTTCCTTCGATTGGATTACTGTTCTTAACTCGGAGAAACCCCCTTTTGTTGCTTCTTGTTCTGTGAAAATAATATGACATTTCGAGGGCAAACTGTTACAGTGCTGTGGAAAAGCCATTTTAAGTAAATTGAAGCTAAGACTTTTTCCTTACCTTATTTTGGTATTATATTTTTATTGCACCAGTTGTCATTTCAAAACAAATAGGGAGGGGAATAGGATGGCCAGGTGACTGCTTAAAATTTGAAGCAAATCAAGGAAAAATAACGGTTGTAGAAGAATCTGTTCTCCTATCAAAATACAAGATCGAAGAAGATAGAGCAATATGAAGTCAATTTGTGAGTCATGAATGCATTTGTCTTGGAACAACTGACCTAAATTGTCTCTGTAACGTAATTCTTAGCAGTGTTAATCAAGATGCAGTCAGCCTTTTAAACTTTGAGCTGGTTGTGTGTTTGCCATAAAAAACTATCACATTTTTAAACACTTTATTGTGCTGTGAATCAGTGTGTTAGATATCTGTCTCCTGGGAGTTCTTGGTGATTCCATGTTGGGAGCAGACCATTCCCAGAACCTTGGAAGTATGTCATAAAGTGATGCAACTGACTGTTTTGTAACCACTAGCACATACTGTCCTGCTAGGACATACCATTGGAATAATTTGTGCTAGATAATGTTTAAAGAATTCAAACTCTCTTGTCCTATTTGAATGTCAACTTTTTTCTTAAATCTGCAGACTGTAACCTTGGATTTCACAGCCTCACTTGTCAAAACTGCTGAAAATTTTGAATGCTATGCATTAATTCTGTGTTTTAATTATTATTGGGAGGAGGGTGCTTCTGGGATTCTTTTTTTTTTTTAAGCTATGGATTTAGCAGTTTTTGAACCATGACCTTGTAATCAAGACACTTTGCTTACTCTGCCTTGAAAGTTTCCACACATGCCTTTCTTCTTCTGAATGTGGCTGTTGGAATGTTTGTGTCCTTTACTGTAGTACATATTTTGCTTTGTGGATTTTGTCTTGTTGAGAGTGCAGTGATTTTTTTCCCTTCCTTCCCCTGTGGTAATATGCTCTGTCTCCTGTACTATATGGTCCTACTTCTTAGCTGGGATTGTCCCGCCCCCACTTTAAAAAAAAAATTGCACAATTTCAAAGGTACAGAAAGGGTTGCAAAGCTTGGAGATGATGAGATATGCTGTAAATAGTAGAGAGGTTCTTAAAGGCCTAAATTAACCCAGGAATGGGACATGAAAGTCCTTTTCTGTTCACCTGTGACTTCAAGGCAGGATTATTATTTTTGATGTCAGAAGCCACTGTTTGCAGTGTTTAGATGTCCAGCTGACTATACCATAAATTAAGTGTGAATATGTGAACATATTTTTTAAAAGTGGGAATGGATACATTGACAGGCTGTAAATGTTTTGATAACTAGAGGGTTACCCTTTTCCTCTAACAGCATGCACTTGAAGTCCATTGTGAAATAGAACATATAGCCTGTCTTTAGCCTGGTCAAGTATTTCAGCTCCATTTGCTGTAATTTTGTTTTTGTTTAATTTTAAAAATAATTTCACCATGCCTTCTGTAAGTGATAACCAGAAACAGGCAAGCATTCTTATGAGAACTGTCCTTTTTAGCATCTGTGCCAAAATACCCGCAAGCATTCAGCTTCAGGAAGTGAAAAACCCATGAGAACATGCATTTCCCACTCAAGTAAACTCAGTGGAGGAATTCAACCACAAATCAAATTCTCTCCTAAAATTTCCCCCGTCAATCAGTAGCCCCATTGATCGCCTCTGTTTACACAGCCTACCCCACTGGAATCGTACTGGGGCACTTGCAGGCAGCCAGACACTTCCATCCATAGGTGAAACCCTGTGAGCTCCTCCTCGAATTGAAGCCCACAGGTGCATCCAGCAATGCATCTCAGCAGATGCGAACATGCTGAACACTGAACAGCATTAAGCGTAGGGCTCCCCATGCGGAAACATGAATAGGCACTTGGTGGTTTTTCAAGGTCCTGTACTCTATGCCTATCACCAGTACACTTGTCCATGCTCTCCACACGTCTTACACTGCTAACCTGCTTCTTGCTGCATCATATCTCAACTAATACAGAACATTTTTCCTCAGGTCATCATTTGCTTCCATTGCTTATAGTATACTGTCTTATCCTGCCATCAAACTTCTAGTCCTTATTGTTAAAACTTTGCTCTTGCATATACAATTCTCTGCTTGCTCCACTCTTCATGTTTCATCAGTACATCCTGTCTCTTCCCTCTCCCATATTTATGCCTTCTGCTGTGCTGCCCTCTGCATCTTGGCTTACTCTGCTGTCCTCCTCTCTGAGTTCCTCAAGAAACCCAACTTAAAGCTTATCCTGATTTGCTGTTGCCTCTTTTACCTTCCTCCCCTAGCGTACCCAATTATTCAGTTTCTACTCTCTGCCCCAACCACTGAATGTCATTAATAGGCTGGTCAGAATCTGCAACATTTAGGTGCCTCACCCATAATGGAATGGGTGAATGCAGAATCTTTCTAGGGGGACCTACTTTTAGGGGATCAACAGAACATTGGTGTGGCTGGGGGTATCTTGCCTCCCCAAAGGCCTGGGCTGGATTTCTTTACTTATAGAAGTAATATGACACTTTGAAATCTTGAAAATGTATGTGGAGCCAGGGTAGGAAGACTAAGGAACACTTTAGCATCCAATATTGTTTTCCTCTCCTTGTCCAGTCTTGGAACCTACCTGATGTTTTCATCTACTCATCTTCCATGCCTCTGATTCGTATCACACACTTCCAAAATTTTTAAGCTGCATCATAGAAGTATGATAAAATACTTCAGAAGTAAATAGAAATGCGCAGAGTTGCTTTTAGAATTCTTAAATATTTATTGTTAATGGCAGAATTTGACTGGGTCCAAACAACATGCCACACCCCATCATGGAATGACAAGCAATGATAAAACAACCCTCCCATAACCCTCTGAAACAGACTAAGCTGATTTGCACATCCAGATCACCCAACAATTACTTAAATAAACCATTGCGGTTTACAAGCACCTATTCTGGAAACCAACCCTGCCATGTAGCTTGGTGTGCAATTCCACAATCCTGAAGTAGCCCCTTGCTTTTGTTAACCATGCCAAAAACCCAGATTTCCAAAACAAGTGTCTGCATACCACTTTGCTTTATTTAAGCTTCCATGGAGCAATTTGATTGTGCAGACTGGACCATCATGGGTTATCTGAGGGTTGTTTAATCCACACACAACCCATCCTTACTAGGTTTGCATGCTGTATCAGCACCCCAAGCAGGGGTTACATACTGAAATGGTGACTATGTTGTGCAAACAGATCCTTTGTGTTTCCAGGGTACAAGATTGAGATGTGTTTTCACCTGTGAAAAGTCAAATGAACTCACCAATTCAGTGAAAATGAATTATGTACAAGGGGCTTTGGTGATGTGGAAGAGGGCACATGCTCTCCCATCAGTGCTGACAAGACAGCCATAGCTGGAATTGAAGCTTCTGATCCATCTTTGCTTGTCCCTTGCCCTCACCACTAACCCCTTTTGCCCTTCTAGTACTGATCACACTGGATTTTTATTTTCTTGGTGTTACTGTTATCATTGCAAGCAACCCCTGTAACCATGAGGAAGCAGGCGTGGTTGCCCATTAAGAGGTTTTGCTGTATAGCCTAGGATGACAGCATTTGCAATGCAGTTTTGCTCCCCTTTTAGGTGTCTGCTGGTTAGACTTATTTTCTGTTGAATCACATCCAGCATTTCTTTGTGGTGGAAACAGTTGTCTTGTTAGCTCTACCCCTTGCTTTCGGGCAGGTGAAGATTCAACCCTAAAGGATTAGATAGATTTCTGAAGGAAGCCATCAGTGGCTACCGGCAAAATGGATGTTCCATGTTTAGAGGCAATAAATGTCCTTGAGTTAAATCTGCATGCTTGGAGGAAAATTTTGATGAGAAATTTTGATTCTGTGCATAGTGAGTTTGGCTGCCATCCACATTCATCCGTATACCCTCTGTTACACATTTTCTCTAGTTTCATATAGGCAGTAATCCTATATGAATCCTGGAATCCCATGCACTAGAAAAAGATGCAGGTGCGACATTTCTAAGAATCAAACTGAACATGATGCCGACAACTGAGTTTAATCGTATCTGTTGTTTCCATGTAAAGCGGGATTGGTGGTGGAATCAATTTTCATTGGGAAGCACAGGAATGTGAACTGCTGAACCCTCTTGCCATCCTGTGCTCAATTGCTTCTAGCACTTTTCACCCACCCCCATCTCACTGTTGGTCAGCCTTAGAGTGAAAAGGAGTTCAACTCTCCAATGTCAGCTGGCTCTGTAGATGTTAAACACACACTTTTTGTAGGTGAATGGGTTAGACACACGGGCTGCTGCCACTGGCCTGTCTCATTTAACTCTAAGCATTAGAACGTTAGTACAAGATTGTGCAATACCATCACAGGTAACTTTTAAAAATTGTATGAACTGTGAAAACAGCCCCTGTGATACTAGCTAGGGTGAAGGAATATGAGCTGGTTCTGTTCAAGCTACATTTTAAATTTAGTAGCTTCTGCTTTTATCAGTCACCTCTTAACCTTATGCCTGTATAGCATATGCAGTGGATTCAAACATGTTTAAATGTATCACAAAGGTCGTTCAAGTAGGGATGTAACTGATAACGAAAAACTGAATCTTAAAAATGCACCTGTTCAGACTTTGACAAAGATTAAAAGTTCAGTGTGCTTATCTGTTTGCTAGAAGTAGTGCAACACTAAAGTGTTTTGAAATGCATGCATGTTAACAAGGTGAAGTCTCCCAGCTGGAGTGAACAAAATAAATTTAAACCTTTGTGTACAACTTTTTATTAAACTTGTCTTTCCAAGTTGGAAAATATTGGGAGGGAGAAGAGGGAGGCTGGGTGTGGAGCTCTACCAGTTCAAAACAATAACCTGTTTTATGCCTATTCAGGAACAGATTTTGGCTTATCCTTTCTTGCCTGCCACATACCTTGCAAGGCCCAAAACATACTGGAAAGATAGAACATTCTGCTCACGTCTCGAAAATAACTGCTTAAGGTCTAAAGGACCTTTTCCCTAAATCTAAGGCATATCCACATGTTTGAGATAAGTTAAAGCTTTGGGGCACAATTGTATGCAAGCTCAAACAAGAAAAAAGTCTCTCTTCCCAGCATGCTCCAGCAAACCATGCAAGCTGGGGCATACTGGGAATTGTGTGCTTTTTCCCTGTGTAAGCTTGCATAAGCTTACATTTCTCTTGATTAGTCCCACTAAAATCTACTTCCTCACAGATGCTTGCTTCTTCCCTCTTGGCTTTTCCTTCTGCTGTTATCAGAAGCTAACAGTTTTTTTGCACTTCCAGAAGAATTCACTGTAACTTTCTTCTGGCATTAAAAGCCACAGGCCTCTGAATTTGACAGTGTCCAGTTGAAACAAATGGACCAGTCCAGTATGAAGTTCTACACAACCCCCAATGAGATTAACCTAAGCTGTGCAAGAGCATAATCTAACTCTGACTCTTTTGTAGGTACTAATGGGACTTTCCTTCATGGATCACTGCCTTGTCGTGGCGAAGGGGCTTGCGTAGCTCAATGAAGCTATGAGCTATGCCGTGCAGGGTCACCCAAGACAGACAGGTCATAGCAGAGAGCTCTGACAAAACATGATCCACTGGAGAAGGAAATGGCAACCCACTCCAGTATCTTTGCCATGAAAACCCCAGGGACA